TTCAGCGGAACAGCCAATCTTTTCAATCTTCTCGGAAAACGACAGCCATTATCAAGCCTCTCCAGAAAACTGAGTCAAGCCCACCCACTTCAGGAGCAGTAGAAACCACCGAAGAGTCAAACAAGGAATCAGCTCAGTCCACTGAGATCAATCCCGAAGCAGGATGGGGGGGTTACTTCAAGAAGCTGTGGTGATGGGAGCAGCATTCGAAGGACTCAATATCCTCGCCGCGATATCGCATCGCTGCGTCCCGCTTCAGGCCCGTGAATTATCCGCACTATCTTGCAACACGCGGTTCACGTTTAATTTGGGATGCTTACTCTTGGGATCGCAATGATCAACTCGACAAAAGTATGTGCACTCTTTGACTGTCTCACTCACCCGCTCATCAGTGTAATGTGGCGCTGACAATGCGCGACTCGACTCGATGAACAGGTTCAATCTCTAGAGTAACATTCCAATAAAGCCCGTTCAGGCGGGAAGCATCACGAAACGCCACTTCTGATGAATTGTTAGTGTCCTTAACTTCTGGAAATGCATTTCGATTCCCAAGCTGAAGCTGACCTCATTTCCTAATCGTTAGTGGCCCAGATTACCATTCAAACCGGGAATCATAGCGATTGGTTAGATTTTACGCCGCTCTGTAATCTTTCGCAACCTAGACTCCTCTGCAGACGCATGACTCGAACCCTATCCTTGGATATCATTGACAGACATCACCACGTCGAATCGCCTTGTAAAAGAATACTTCTTTTCTTCATCTTTTTCTTGCCGATTATTTCATCCTGTTTCAAATTTGACCAACGGACCTTACCAAACCACACCGATCAATGTCTATATATCTATATACCCACAGACTTGGTTGTGTATGGCATCTGGGATATCCTTAATCATATTTCCTTCGGTAACTTATCATTCAATTCCGCTGCCTTATTCTTTTTCATTTCGAATAATTTGCAAGTCCAATGCACTCAGCACTTTGCACTTTCCAAGACGGTGCATTTTCAAATAAATGCCATAATTTGACATCTAAAGCAAATATCCGAATTACATTTCAATCTTAACTTGTAGCTGTGTTGATTAATGTAATAGATTATTTACAAGCACCTCAAACTCCTGCTAATTCTGCTTTATCGAGTTTTACCTTCTCTTTTATCAGTCAGAGCCCTTCATTTTACCATTCAAGAAGGTCTTGATTTGGGGGATTAAGTAGTATGGTGTTGAGAAGATATATGTGTGAATTTGAGCATTTCTAAACCAGGATTGTTTGGCTATGGAAGGGACTAGAGGTCTCTTCTTCAGAAGGTGTGTGAATTTGAACCTCAACATCAGAAAGGAGTTCTCAGAGAGGGGGAAAGTGAGAATCGAAGCTTAATGGTTCCCTTATAAATCTTGGTGCACAACCAACAAGCCTGCAACAACCCTCAGCAAAAATCATTTTATCCATAAGTTTTAAACCAAAGTTGAATATCCAATCAGCTGCAGTGGCACATTGAGGAATTTATCTCTTGGGGATTCCACTTTCTACTTGATGTGTATAGAATTGGTATGGTTATTATAATCACTCTCTCTTTATGATTCCACCTCTGCATATTTATCATATCCTGGTTTAGGTTATGTCTCAAAACATGTACCAATGTTTCACCAACTTACCTAGTGAAGAACAGTCCATCTACAAAATCACATTTTTCTAAGATTCCTCAGATGAACCTGCCAAAGGGAAAGGCAGATTTGCTTGTTGAGTGTTTATAAATGTTTACTGAAATACTTTTTTGTCTTTCCCACACAAGAAACTGCTGATGTGTGTGTATTCCCGACGTAAGCTTCACATTTGCTTGTAGTTTTTACAGTTTTTTTACATCATGTGAAGGATACAGCATTCAAAGTTTTGGAAGACCCTTACATACATAATGGTATCATCGAGTACCCTTTCAGACACGATATTACACCTCTTCCGTTTCTTTCGGCATCGGTTCTCTCAACCAGGATAGAGGCTTCAAGAGTTGCCTGTCTTTTCATTATTTTGACAAGGCTTGGACTTCAGAGGAAAGATTGCCTGATTCGAAAACCAGTCAGATTACCCTGCGACAGCACTGCAAACGGAACACATTTTCAAGAGAGAGGGGGGGACGGCTCTTTCTCTTTGCCTGACTGCATCTCCAAGCTTCTAGCTCGGTCTTGTCTACTTAAACCTTACCCAACTCACTCGACACTCAGAAGGAAACACCATATTCATACATATTACCAATCGTCAATCCGATTCCATCTTGAAATTCTCTGCATACTTGAATTACGCTCCATATTAACGCCCCTCCACAAAGCTGCAGGCTGCATTAGCCATCTTGATTCTTGACCGAAACATCCTCCTCAAAGATTCACAACAATACCCCGCCCACCTTCCTAATCCGACCTGCATACTTTTTGCCGTCATCCCTCCCATTCCGTCCTCAGCAAGCTCGCTCCACTTCAATCTCCAACCCAAATTCATAATACCCCACATTTCTGGTCTAGGTTGCCCCACCTTCCAACAGCATGCCCTCGACCAACCAAATTACCTGCCATCTCATCCATGGCATCGATCCCACCAACCGATTCCCCGAGCTGCTACCCAACATCGCCATCGACGGCTCGGCGACCTGCTACGTGCCCGTCGAAACGAATCCGAATCCGAATCCTGACTATGGATCCGCAGATTTACCCTATTCGGTTCATTGGTCCATCGATCCTAGCCTGCTAGCTACCGGCGGTCTCCAAGTCCAAATTCAAGTCGATGGCTGTCAGAAGGGCCAACCTAGATCCTACGAAGGTATCGGACCGGACGGCCTGACCCCTCCCTCTCCGATCACTGGCATGGATGACGGACTTTGGGTCGTCCCCGATGGTACTCGCAGACGACCTTGGGTGATGGGAGAAATCAAGACAACTCGTCAGTATCTTGTTTAGATCAGACCCCACACCGATCACAGCAATCGATCGATTTAATTAACCATAATTCATCACGGACATCTTTTGATCACAGATCCGCACTCCGCATTGTCCGACAAATACATCCTAGACCGAGTCGGTTCAGTTAGCGTCACTTTCAGCCGAGCCAACGTCGTGCCTACCTCTCGTGTCGTAGCTCTAACCCCCGTCTTCAGTGGCAGTGCCCCCTTGCCAGACCGTATGCGTGAGAAACTTAGCCATTGGACAAGGTTTGTTCAATAAATCCAATCAATCAACCTCGCACCTAGATCGCTAACTCAATCATACGCTTCGGAAATTACTCAGATTGGGCTTCATCGAGAATCACTCTCCGGGCGCAGAACTTGGCCTTGTAGCCGAAGAAATTCATGAAGTCATTGCACAGTTTACATTTTACTATCGCTCGAAGGGTTAGCAGTCAGCTCGATCTATTATCCAGAAAAAAAAATAAATCAGTACCAACTCAATTTGCTTCCCTGATTTCAGAACTCCTCCAACGATTACTTCCTACGGTATTCTCATCCGACATCAAAATCTCCTTCCCCACTGCGCCTAGTGGGCAAGCCGAACGATCCATCCGATCAACTGACGACACCGATGGAGAACGCCCTCACGGAAAGGGGGGAAGCTTCGAAGCTAATCGGGCCTCAGTATTCCGACGAGCCTTCGGCGCAAACAGCAACCCTCGTCACAGCATCAACGGTTCCTTGCCTGTCCCAGATTTGGGCTCTGAACATGACGAATTCGGCAAGCTCGGCAAGTTTGGTGGTAAACGAGTTAGAGCAGTGAGCCTACGACTTGCTAAACGATATAGTTCGCTTGGTCAAAAATCCGAAGAAAAAGTGAGAAAACAACCCCCATCCAAGTCTCTCAAGCAGTTGGAAACTGATCCCTGATTTCACCAGAGCCCAGGTACAAATCCTTCTCCCGAGGCCACCTCGCCCGAGCCTGCCACGAGCAACCCAGAAGATTTGAACACAATCCAGGGTCTGAGAAATGAAGTGATCCTTCTCAGAGTGTGTCTCGTTGCCTTTTTTTTTCCTCTCTACCTCTCACACTAATATAATTTGCTATCTGACCCGGAAACAATCTGCTCAGCATGAACTGAATGAGTTTAAAAAGTACTTCCGGCACTCGTGATTCTTTCGACCTGAATTTACATCAAGGCATCACCGTTGGAGCACGCACACACACACATTGACTACGAAAGCAGAGAATACTCACGACCAGAATGCATATTACAGCAACGATCCAATTTTAACGATTTATTAACGAGCTTATGATTTTAGTTTTGAAGGATGAGGCGGAAAGTAGTGTTTTTTTTTTCTTGCATAGCATCCTGTATTTTTGTTGTTTTATCTTCCTAGCTTAATATATACACAAATAGGGATCGTCTCATTCAGTTTCTTTTGTTTTGTTTTGGATTAGCAATCAGCGAACACATCATCATCATCATCAAATTCTTGCGATACACATCCATCAATCATCTTTTGAAATGCAAACACACGCGGCAGTTACACAAAAGCGCAAAGGACCGAAAGCGGAATCCCCAATTGATAGCGGAGAGCCATCTATGAAGGGTTTAGCCCACTTATATCTGCGGGTCTCTGAACGTGATTTTCATATGGAAACATGTCCTACTTTTGGAGCGGAGAAAGCGATATGTTTTGAGTTCAAGCAAGAAGTACTGAGATCCTGGCCTAAACTGAGTTGTATCTCGAGCTTGAAATCATGGGCTGCCCTATTGATGTGGCCTGTATCATATATAACGAACTCTACTTCGCAAGAAGGTGGCGGGAGACATCCGCAAGAGCTAATCAATCTGCTTTTCTTCTCTTTCTCGAGATTTGTGAAGACTTCACCAACTGACCTTTTCTATCGTCACCTGTGCTATCTCATGATGCTTTCTAAGCAATGCTTATGACCGAGTCTGTCGTAGTTTTGGGAGCCTGAGCGATCGACCAAAAATCAACAAATTGTACTCTGAAGACTGTTGTGGGTGTAAACACAAGCACATTTTTGTAAGCTCCATTGACCGGGAGGTATCCGCTAATTAGGGTGGATCCAATTCGCCAGATCAGATAGATGCCTTCCAAAATTCAACTAGTCCCGACATCTCTGAAGGTTTGATTCGATGAACCTGGACGGATGAATACCGCTTTGATCTAGAAAGGTCTAGAAATGGGCAGACTCTGGCAGAGTGCAGTGTACTGTGATGTAAAGATGTATTTGTGTACGTGTATGGAGTTAAAGAGTATGGGTTTATGAGCTATGTTCTTACTGAGAGTGAGGTCATGGCTGACACCCTCGTCACTTCAGCACCCAACGAACCAACGAACCAACAACAACAACAACAAAAAAAAAGAAAACGGAAGACTTGATCTACATTCAAACATCAGTTCTACTTCGACTCCTAGATATTACAGTTCATCGCCAATCGGTCGGGTCGGTTGAAGGTTTCGAACGGTCCAGGCCTGTCCAAGCTGCTCATCCGAACATATTAATAAAAGTCAAATCATCAACTCACAGGATGTCTCTGATGGAAAGATTCCAATCGGCCGCCAAGAAGGTCAGTCAGCCCAGCGCCTCTCACGCCCTTCGCGATCCAGTTCACTCTTCGAAAGATATATCTGAACTCTTGATACTCTCGCCCTTCCTTTTTAATTCTAATTTCTCCAAGGTTGGCGTTCAGGCCACAGCTTTCAGTCGCGATGTTGCCACGATGGCTAGCGATGGTGGTCGGCAATTAGTAACCGAATTTAAACTTGAATCTGAGGTACTCATCTAAAGCTTCTCTATTCCATCCTCGATTCTCATCTGTCTCCAGTGACTTTTCAATCTCATCGTTCCAAAACATTTTTAACTCATCTTAACTCGCTGTTTGACCTTCCAACTGGATTCTTAAAGTGCGAACGCTCTGCCAAGATCCTCTCATCCTTCCTCGCCGACCCTTTACATCCTGAATCGGCCTTGAATGCCATACCCAAGGCCGTCTTACAGAATGCTCATGGTCGGTACCTAATTCCCGTCCTCCATGGCCAAAACAAAAAACCACATCCATTTTCCTATCCATATATCAACATAAGCTTCCTGCTAACAAGCTGTATTTGCTCACCCGTCTTACTCCCAAACTCATCATCTTATCACGTCAGGCCTGGCCATCTTTACGATTCTTAAGGTTGGATTCGTTTGGTCAGGCAAAGCAGGATCGGGCATTGTGATTGCCCGTTTGGAAGACGGTTCTTGGTCGGCACCCAGTTGTATCGCGACCGGAGGAGTAGGATTTGGTTTACAGGTAGGGGCTGATTTTAGTGAATTGTGGGTCGATCAATCCGTTGAACAAGAATATAGCACTTTGTTAGCCATACTGACTTTGATCTTTAAACTTCACGACTGATTCAGCGTGATTGTGTTGAACTCGGAGGAGGCGGTTCGTGCTTTTGCAACCACCGGAAATATGACTATAGGAGGTTGGATTTTTTTTTGTTTTCACAAAACTTACGCAATAACCATTCCTAGTTTACTGACTGCTTGGATGATGGTTTGTGTGATAGGCAACCTAAGTGCCGCTGTGGGCCCGATCGGTACTGGTGGCGCTGTTAACGCTAGCCTACTGCATCCTGCGCCTCTCTTTACGTATAGCAAAAACAAAGGTGTGGATAGTCATTCACAAGTTGGCATGTGTGCGATCTGATCATCAATCCAACCTCGGCTCTTAGGTCTATTCGCGGGTCTGTCACTAGAAGGCACAGCTCTCATAGAGCGAGTAAGCAACCCGAGTTTTTTCTTTCCATAATCTAACGCCAACCGCTACTTCCTACTTACGACCCTGCAAATGATGATTGATGAATTTTCAGAAAGATACCAATGAAGCCTTTTACGGCCAGCGGATCCCTTCGCTTGATATACTTCGGTAAGTTTTCCATCTTCGTAGCATTATCTGGTCCTCTACCAAGTATAATTGAACTATCCCCACACCTGGCTTGTTTTATCAGCGGACGAGTCCCACCGCCTGAAGCGGCTTCGGCGCTTTACGAGGTCATTGAGAGCGCCGAGCAACTTGATGAATCAAACTTACCGCAAGAATCTTACGTGCCAAATGGTGGAGTCAATGATAACACTACACCAGGATCGGCATCTAAAGAAGCTGGCTCAACGCCAACCGGCAATACGAACCTCTTTGATGCAGGTGACGCCCATTGACGATCTCCATCTTGTGTCTACTTAACAAGACCTGGCTTTTTTTTTTATTTGCTGCAATATTATCGTTTGAAAAGTTTGTATCACCATTATTTCATTTTGGTCTGGATTGCATCAAGTCGGTCACCCAAAACACTCCAGCGACTGAATGAAGAATCCTTTCAAATGGCCTGCTTTTTCTTTACTTCCATTACATACCTCGGCATATTGGCCTTCCGATGTATCAACAATCCCATTGTTGATGGTCAAATATGCTTGATAATACATGCTTCATCCGTTTGCTTCTTACTGGGTAGATATCTAGCCAATTGACGACTTCCCTGAACACTTCATGATTTGGCCTGAAGGAGATTCAGCATCGTCGAGTATGGTTCCATTTAAATATCTTTTTTTTTTAATGTGTTTAAGCAAAGCAAAAGGTGTGCTTCAGGATGTTGCCTCACAGACATGTCATTTCCTTTTTTAACAAAAAACCACCAGCATCTTGGACCTCTTTGTGCTCTCCAAAAATATCTCAAATGTTGTAAAATAATTCAATGCACAATCAACGGTAACACATCAGGAGAAAAGATTGAATAAGGTTAGGCTACTTACATTGGAACAAATGTATCTGATGCATAAGATTGAGCTATCTTGATAGAAATAATCTTCCTTCCTAGATAAGCTCCAGACAGAATGGAGTTGATTTTTAGCAGTTTTTTTTGCTCCTATTCCAGCTGGCAATTAGCAACTCAAAAAGTCGAAGCATAGTCTGATTTTTTTTGACAATCAAGCACTAAATCCAGGGTGGATGAAAAACCTGGAATTAATTTGATTAAGTGGCATGTGTGTGACTGAGTGAGCCCATTTTGAAATGTCAATTTGATTTTTGGGAAGACATCACAAGAAATGGAATCACAATTGGGCATCAACAAAAGAATTGAAATGGAAAGTGTTGGGATCAAAGGAAATACTCATGCCATGGTCCCAGATGGGTCTTTTGTAACTGCTACTAGGTATTTATAACTTTTTGGACCCATGACAAAGAATATACTTCATTGAGCAATTGTTAAGCACTCAATTCTTTCCTGTCTGAGGTCTACATAGAGGACTCGCAAGCTCCTCTTATTGCTTCAAATTTAGCAGCTGCTTGTTGATCAACCTCTTCTGACCAGATGCTCCTCTCTTCTACAACAAAAAAAGCTCTTGGAACCCATGCATCAGGGATCAAAAGGGTTAGAATGAATGTGCCAGAAGATCTGATGTTTGACTAGATTTAAGAAGCTTAAGGGGGGATCAACCTTTTTTTTGGTTTAGTCTAAAATCCATGAGCAGCAAGTTAAACCAAGCAAGATCAAACATTTAGATATTTTATTTTATTTTGTCAAACATTTGATTCAAGCTGCCTTTGCCTGGATGATGTTAAGTCAAGCAGCTTGACATAAATAATTCATGATGGTGGTTGATGGGTTGGATTGAAGGGGTATATCTCAACAACGTGAAACACAAGTCAGTCCGCCGAGCGACCCAGGCAAGCTTTGTTCTTCCTCTTCCCCTTCGGACATCTCAAGTTTTCACTGGGCTCACTCCGCTGGCCTTATGTTAATCCCCTCAAGATCATCGACCCGACTCCGAACCTCTCGTCTCTTCATCTATCGGCGAAGGATGTTTTCGGAGTATCGATCGAGAGGCTACGAGGTCCGTACACGCTTCGATAAATTTTCTGCCATCGACGACAATCTTTGACGAAACCAAGCAGTTGATGTTAGCTCGACCATCGATATTGTGATATCAAATCATAGGAGGCTATCGTCGCATTAAATTCGCTGCAGTCCAACGCAAGCGTCTTGGCTGCAATCCAGGCTGCCGGTCCACAGCCCAGTGAACGAGTGTTTGGCCAAACAAATTACTACCTCCGTCGGTTGGGCTACAAGGTATGTGTTTCGGCTTTCCAATAAGATTCCGTACACCCAAAGAAAATATGAAAAGAGAACAAGCAGAAGGAACCAACCTCTTAAACCCATCCATCTACCAAGCTAGCCGAAAGATCTGAATATCTTGAATGCGATCCATATCAGCGGGACCAAGGGGAAAGGATCGACGGCGGCCTTCTGCTCCTCACTCCTGAATACCATCAATCCTTCCGCCAAGGTCGGCCTGTTTACCTCCCCACATCTCGTCGCTGTGCGTGAGCGGATTCGTATCAATGGGAAACCGATCAGTGAAGAGATGTTTTCAAAATACTTCTGGGAACTTTGGGAGAGATTTGAGGATGGGAATGGCGAGGTGCGAGCTAAGAATTGAAATATACATTTTTCCTCTAGCTATCTGTACACATATAAATATGTTGACTATATCCTTCTTACAAAAAATGCTGCATATCTCTTATAGCCTGCCCGACCAGATTTACCGATCCGACCTGCCTACTTCCGATATCTGACTTACATGGCATATCACGCCTTCATAGCCGAACGAGTGGATGCGACGGTCTTCGAAGTTGGGGTGGGAGGTCTACTGGACCCTACCAACCTGATCCCCTCGCCGATCGTGACTGGGGTCAGCTCACTGGGAATCGATCACGTCAATGTCCTCGGCCACTCGATCGCTGAAATCGCAGGGCACAAGGGTGGGATCTTCAAACCCGGTGTACCAGCATTGACGGTCCAACAACAATACCCTGAAACAATTAATGTGTTAAGGGCAAGAGCTCTTGAGCTTAAGGTAAGATAGTTGGTTGAGATAGTGTTTCTGTCAAGTAACTTTTTGACTGATTCCCATCGTTCCACACAATAACAACAAAACAGTCTTCCAGTTTCACGATCATCCCTCGTCGCCCAGATCTAGACCAGCTAAAGATAGGTAAGCTGAGGTCCAATCTTCAATAGCAAAGCAAGTATTTGTGTACTGACACAGGTGACCTCTCGTTCAATTCAATAATTCCTCGATCGATGGAAATGAACAGGCTTGGCTGGCTCTCATCAAAAACACAATGCATCATTTGCGATTGCTCTGGTGAATACCTTTCTGGGATCTCCTCGACTGCCACATAGTTACTTTAAGCATGCATCCCCGATTCGGGACACCACGGCGTCAGACACACCCTCGGATCTATTACCGCTACTGCCTTCGGATCCTTCGCCCACCTTACCGGAGAGTGTTGATCCTCGGCAGCCCGAGCTTCCTAAGGATCTCGTCCAGCCGGAACTTTCTGGCTTGTTCAAAGCCGGGATCACGAACACCCGCTGGCCCGGTCGGTGCCAGACTATCGTGGACCCCGTCCGGAGTGGCGTGACTTGGTTTCTCGACGGTGCCCATACGGTCGATAGTCTCGAGTTGTGTGGGCAATGGTGGAATCAACAACTAGAGTCGTCCAGCTCTTCATCCAGCACTCATCCCACATCAAATCAACCTCGGAGGATATTGATCTTTAATTGCACATTTGGCCGAAAGGCCCGTGATTTACTCGAAGGTTTGATCAAGCCTTTGTCCCAAAATCTCCATAGTGGATTTTTTGATCAGGTGATCATTACAAGTAACACAACCTACTCTGATGGGAAGTTCAAGAGTGGCAAGTCATATTCATAAATCTGCTTTTCCTAGGAGTTGAAGATGACTGATTATGGACTTTTTCATGGTTACTAGATTTAAGATCTGTAGCTCAAGATACCTTGTCAGATCCAGACCAACGTATCCAGCAAGAAATAGCAGAGGCATGGACGTCAATGTCGAATTCGACCAAAAATGTTATGGTTGTGAATTCTATCGAACAAGCGGTCGACGAGGTCGCCAGACAAAATCTATTGTCTGGTTCCACATCAGTCCTTGTGACCGGAAGCTTACATCTCATTGGTGGACTGCTTGATGTACTTGGGCTTGAAGATGCCTTGTAGGATACTCTCCGATGAAAGCATTATTGTAATTACATTAGTCCCACTTATCACAAGTACCTCGCAGTCTTTACTTTCTCTTTCGAGTTTTTTATTTTTCCATTTTGAACTATTTGAGCACTTTGAATCTTGAGAATATATGTAGGAAACGAGTTGGTTATTGATTTTCAAAAAAGCCATCAAAAAAATTCTACTATCCATATAGGCAAGTGCGATGGGTGAGTTTGGAAAACCCCAGAGGGTTGGTCTGATCCTTAGGGCGATCGACTGAGCCTGTTCATCAATGACTTCCTCGGAGTCGGAAATGACTCATTTTCAGACTTTGGGGCGCATGAAGGCTGCTAAGAAGAATGAGCAGATACAGTACTACTTTGGTATCATGCAGTCTGTTCTGTGGAAAGACTGGGGATGCAAAACCCAGTATCCCAAAAAGACAAAACCCTCATACAAGACCCAGCTCAAAATCTGATCGACGCTCCAACCAGAGGCCGTTTTATTCATGAGCTCCCCACGAGACACGAGGGGAAGAGAGATCAATGTCTGTCAAGACACTCCAACGAGTTAGATGGAAGAAGATTGAAATATCATTGCATGAAGGAGCATATAAGACGAAATTACTGCTAGTTCAAGTTGACTCTATATTTGTTTGTATAACCTACTATTAAGCTAATCAAGCTCCGACGATTTTGGCAATGGCCTGTTGAAAAGAAATATCCGAATTGGTTAACACATGTGTAGGATCTGTCAAATAATTATAAGATGAACATACCTCCATGCTGAGAGATTTGGGTCTCTCAATCGGCAAGTTGTGAACACGGTCCCAGACCAATTGACTCAAACCACCCATGGCACGCGAGCAACCAAAGAGAACGGTGTAGTACTCAAACTCGGTCATGCCGTAATGGTAGAGTACACAACCTGAGGCGGCATCAACGTTAGGGAATGGGTTCTTCGTCTTGCCATGCTCTGTCAAGACACCAGGAGCTTGTTGGTAGAGACTGTCGACTAGTTGGAAGACTGGGTCGGCGGCCACTTCGGGGCGTCTGTTACCAAACTCTCGGAGAGCAGCGAAACGAGGGTCCTAGAAGAGTTGACCCATACATAGTCAGAGAATGTTGTTTGATCGCTAAATGATATTAGTTCTAAAAAAATCAATCGCAAAGGCGCTCACGGGTTTCCTCAAAACAGCATGACCGTAACCTGGTACAACTCGGCCAGATTTCAGTACGCTCCAGATGTATTCCTTTACTTTTTCAGCGCTGGGTTTGTCTCCAACGGCCTCTTTCATTTCAAGCACGAATCGCAGGGCTTCCTGGTTGGCAAGTCCGTGGAGCGGACCAGCGAGACCAGCCAAAGCAGCCGAGTAAGACAAGAAAGGGTCGGAGAGGGCTGAGCCCACCAAATCTGTGGGAGATCAAAGGGGGGGGGGGCAGATTGTTTAGTAAGATCCTTTGCAAACGACTTAACCGGTAAGAGGTGTGAACTTACGAGTTGTGTGGGCAGAGACATTACCACCCTCGTGATCGGTGTGGAGAGCGTTGTATAGTCGGACAAGCTCGATGAACCCTTGCGAATCACCAAAGCCAGTCTGTTGGGCAAAGTTCCACGAGAGATCCTTGTTCTTGTTGATGGCTGGCAAGTTCTTGGCACCGCCCTTGTATTTGGTGACGTAGATTCGAGCTGCGATAGGGTAAACCATTGCAGCAAGGTCGAGCGAGTCCTCCAATGTACTTTTCCAGTAATCGGCCTTCTTGACTCCAGAGGAGTAGGCGGCAGCAAATTTAGAGTTGTGGCTGGTCACATAGTGATGCAGATGGATCAGCAACACGATTCTTGTATGAGATCATCCTGATGGTGATACTCACTTCAATGCGGCCGTAGCCATGACAAATTGGGTCATGGGGTGAAGTGTCTTGGCTGGAATATCATAGTCAATCAGCCTCAAGACATGCAAAGAGAGCTGGTGTGAATCAAAAAGAGCTTACGGAATGAATCGATCAGCTGCTCGACGAACTTGGGTACCTTGGTAGATCGTTCGGCAAGATCGGCTTGGAAAGCTTCGATCTGCTTCTCGCTGGGGACTTTGCCGGTCAATAGATACCAGAACATGCTTTCGGGTAGCATCTCAGAGCCATCCTTGGCACTCGGAAGTACCTGTTGACACTCGGCAATCGTTCTTCCCCAGAATCGGATGCCCTCCTCGGAGTCGAGGACGGAAGGATCCCAGAGCATGGCCTTGAGTCCTCTCATCCCACCAAAGACGTGCGAGACTTGAACATCGCCGAGTTTCTTATCGCCATAGTTGGTCTTCAAGTTCTTGGCCATCTCTAGCCGCTCTGGGATCATGTCTGCCAGTTCATCGTGAATAGACTGATGACCAAGAAAACGCCCGATAAGGTCAGTAAGCTGTAGGAAGCTGATGAGGATAGAAGCAGCCCAGGGGGGGCGGAGGGAGTGTTTCTTACCTTGGTTGATAGCAGACGAGCCTGGTTAGCCCTGCCAGCCAATCGAGGCAAACGCTGAGGGGGTGGACGGGAAAGGTCAGCTGGGAGAGCTTGATGACGTCAATCGGAGTGAGTGATCGATGCTTACACAGCAATCGAGGGCAGTTCGCCTTAGGAAGGAAGCCATCTGAAAATAATCAAGGGTTGATTGATTTGGCTGAGTAAGGGTAGCGTGAAATCGGAGGAGGATTGTCTGGGATGACTCTGGGATGAGGATGGATGAAAGATGGGTGGCACTGGCAGGAGAGTTTCTGCTGGGAGTGTTCGATGATGGGATGTGGTCACGGGCTGAAAATGGCTGAGTCTGGAGTCTTCAGATTGGGATGTTTAAGCCACTCGCGCTGGGTGGATGTTGAGCTTCAATTGAATCATTCAACCAACAACCCCCCAACCGGTTACCGGTCCCACCCATGGCCATAACCCCACCCATTTCAATCCACTCCTTCGACATAACCCAGCCGAGGTTCACCACGACAGCCGATGAGCTTATCAGTCCATTAAAAGCTGTAAACTCTGTAAACTACAAACCAACAACCTGTACTACATCTTCCTGTAAAGCTTATCACGGTCTACTCTTTCGTGCGTTCCGTTCCGAGTCACTCCGATTCTCTTATCTATCTACACTTGAAACAAGTTCCACTCTACATCTCTTCATCCACTTTTCATGAAGTGTAGACCCATCCAGCTTATTGCTTCTAGCAGGATGAGTTCGGCCCCTATCAAAAAAAGCAACTTTTGACCTTGATCCCCCAATCAAAATAAGTGTTTTCAGGTACTGTTAGAAAAACAAGACTTGATGAGCTAAGCTTGTCCCCTGAGGTACTTTCCAGTCCAGCTGACTAATGCTAACAGCCCCACTATTAACTCAGATTGTATCAAGAGAGACTACATGCTGTCACTGATATTTTACAAGTGCCAAAATTAATCACTTCACTCATTTTCAATCATAGCTATGGGTTGTTTGCATAAAATTCAAAGCACCAGACAAAAACTGAAGAAATAAAAAATCAATCAGTACACACACCCTGGCCAGCAATCAGCATTCCAATCGCTCCTACAGCGGTGGGCCGCTACGCTACACTACGCTACGGGCCCATGTAGCGTTAGCGTAGCGGCGCCAAATTTTTTTTTTTTCGTGTAGTGTTAGCGCGCCGCTACGGCCGCTGCGCTACGCTAACTTGTAGCGGCGCTAACACTAGCCATTTTTTGGTGTAGTGTTAGCGCCCCGCTGGCGCCGCTACGCTGCGTTACGCTACGCTACAGCGTTTTTAGCGGCAAAAAACGCCAAAAAACCGCTAAAAACTGCTGTAGCGCAGCGTAGCGGGCAGTTTTTTGCGCCCTGTGCCCGTAGCGTTAGCGCAGATGGGGAGAATTGCGCTAACGCTACGCTGAACGTTAGCGCATTGTTTTGCCCCGTGCGCGTAGCGTTAGCGCTGAAAATGAAAAAAGCGCTAACACTACGCTACATTGTAGCGATTTTTCGCTACACTACGCTACGCTAACGCTACAGTTAGCGTAGCTGGCCCACCGTTGGCTCCTACTAGACAAATATTCACATGATTCATGATTTTGGTGTGTTTTCAAACAATGTTACAAAGATCCAACTTGCATAACAAAACATGTTCTTGATCTCATTCCTGGACAATGTATCCATCTGCACTGGAAGAATATACCTGAACACTCTTTCTGATGAAAGGCCGCCGTGATGAAAAGCAACAAGGTATCAATTTTGACCATTCACGTAATGTATTCCACCCATCCAAAAAAGGTGCATATTCAAGATGTGAACCTTCAAGTTTGACTGAAAGGGGATGGGGGATGGTCTTCCCGGACCAAAGTGGCTACACCCCAAATGTCAACCTTGACTTATTTAGAATCCATTTTTGTTTTTCACATGCCCTTGTTTTTTTGTGGAAAATAAGCAAATCAAAGATGTAGCTACTCAGTGGCAATTGATCTCCATTGAGTTAAATAAAATTTCTGAGGCAGAGGCATAAGTAAAACAAAACTCAACATCCACAATCAAGTTGACTCGTCTCCCAAATTTGTCTTATTTGGCTACTAAGTGATGATGTAATTGAACTGTGCCACAGGTCAACCAAATCACAAATTATGTAGTAGCTTTTTAAGAAAAAAGATAACAGTCAAGGTCCTAAGTTCAAACTTTTCTTGTCTTGTATGACCTTCCAACCACTACTCAATTATTTTGCAAGCAGCACTCAAGCCTTTTGTTAGTGTTAGAAAGATACTGTACTAGTGTCATTGCACCACTTTGTGGCTACACAACAAGCTAATTTCCTGTTCTCGATCAAATCATATTTCACAAGGAAAAGTTGAAAAATTACATTCTTCTTTTCACAAGACAGTGATTCATCTTCAAGTCTGCTTTAAACAGAGATAAACTGCACATGTATCTAGTTCAAATAACTTGAGATCCAGTGAAGAATACACAGATCTTTATGAACAACTCCATACCCAGGTAGGTTTCTCATCAAACGTGACATAATGGGATATTTTGGGTTCTTAATGGCCTGAAGATGTTTGAGAGATCAGACTATGTAAGGAATATCTTTTTATCACCGGTGGTATTTATACAATTATGATACTCCTGATGACCAAGATTATGCATGTACTGATCGACTTGGTCGGGGAGGCTTAGGGGTTAGTGAGCTCCTAGCCCCCGGGGGGATTGATTAGGTCATCAATCCTTCCTCCAGCTCGACGGCTGACCCACTTTCCAGCTTCAAGGCCAACCAACCCATCTCATCAACCAAACAAACAGTTCCTTATCAGCCACCCACGACAGACTCAAGACCTCGAGAGAGAAAGAAAACTAGGAGAAAATAACAACAAATCGTTCACAGACAAGATGAGTGCACAAATGTTGAACATGGCGATGTTGAGTGGTTTCTTTCAGTATCCTGCTCATATTATTCGGTTTATATAAAATGCTGACATTAGCTACTCACCTCCGTCTGTTTATATGAGCCAGTCCTCTGATCGGGATGCAAGTAGCACGAAAGATTCCGTTTGGTGATCCCCAAGTATTATTTGGAATGCGGATGGCATATGTTTCGAGTCAAGTGATCTGTCTGTCTATCTATTATTGGCTATCTCACAAGGTACATATACTGCCTTTTCATCTTCGTCTCTATGCCTTTTCACGATCAGAAATGCGGAATGATAACACCTTTCTATGGATGACCCTGAACAGATCAAGACGAAAAATGATACGACAGTCTTAAAATACGTGGAACCCAGTCCTCCTATGGTTCGTACAATCAGCCTGATCGATCGATCATACCTGGATCTGATTTCCACATCATCATCGCCGGAACTTCAAATAAATACATAATTGACGACGTATACATACATCTATCTTCACCACAGACAAACGAGCCCGGCAAGCTGGTCACCACAACAAATCGGGATTACGACCTCGCTCAATCCTCATCCGGACTTCGTAGCGTACTCATGGGTGTCCTGATGATGTGCTTCTTGCATCTCTACATGAAATATGATGCCCCACTCTTCCTTCAATCGATCATGCCACTCAAAACGGTTTATGACAACAGTCGGTCTCTTTCTTTCCTCACCCCCTGATCCTGACCGCCTCCCCTGATCAGATCGAACTCGATCTGGATACTCGCCAAGGATTTTCTGATCACTGACTGAGTTTCCTTTTTCCAGAACTCGTCCAGATCCATCTGTTCGGCCACCCCGCAACAGGAGACTATAAGAGGCCGTTCCAAACGTCTGGATTCATGGGTACGCGGACTGTTGATTTGTATTGATTGAATTTTAAAAGATTACCTTCTCATTGTTTTTTTTTTTCCTTGTTTGTTTTGATGAACAGGTGCTGCTACAAATGCTAAGACGGATGCCAAGAGTATCAAAGAGGCTGAACAGGCCAGCGTCAAGAAAGAGCAGTAGTCGTTGTTTATACCCACCCCCCCCCCCTTCCATCGACCCCCCCTCTCGATTTGTCTTTATTTCTCCATTCTTCAAGAATCAAATAAGTTAAACAGTCTTCAGGTTTAGGAAAACAAACGGTTGTTTGTTCGCTGTTGAAGATAAACCATCTAAAACACAATCAAAAATTTATGAATAAATAAAACTATTTTACAAGGCAGAAAGTACTTTTCTTCTCAAGTGATTTTGTTTCCCGCTGGTCAATGAGTACTCGTTCCAGCCAGCTCTTGTTGAATAGGATCTGTGATGCTGTACTGTATCTGAGGGGAGCTCTGGAGCCAGTTCAACTCAGATTGATGGAGCCGGTGGGCAGGTGTGATGATTTTTTGGGTTTCTGTCTTCCCAAAGCATAAGTTTCAGATGTTGAAGAGGCACATCATGTGAGCTCTGCTTGCCCTCAAAACCTCCTGAAGCTTGCCTGTGTTTATGCAGGATGATGATACGAGCATCCCTTCACTGGATCGAATCTTCGTTGAGAGCCCCTCTTTATCCGATCGTATGCGCCACATACGATGATGTCCGTTGTCTTTTTTTTGGAGTGATCCCCCCTGTTAGACATCTGTGATGGTCGACAGACAGCTGTTGTGCTGCTCCGTTCGATCATCTGCCCTGCCAGTTGTTTTGAAGACATCCAGGAGCTGGAGAGTGTCAGCTTCATGAGAAGTTTCAACTTACTACTTATTTATTCAGCCTCAGTCCACAACAGAACCAACTAGCATCGACATCCATCATGGTCTCCTCAGCCATCCTCCTCCTACCAGCCATCCTGATCGCAATCAACACTCACTCCTTCTCCGTCAATACCCAACAACTCATCTTCACCAACAACAACCAGCTCAACACTCAAGATCACACCTGTCCGGCTAACCCACCCACCAGCTGCCATCTATCATCGGGCGACGGCAAGGAACCCGTCAACTCATGTTGTACTAACACTCCCGGCGGTCAGATCTTACTCACTCAGGTTTGCTCGCTCATCCTCATCATGCCTACTTGATCAACTTTTGATACAATATTCCTGACTCTCACTTACTTCTACATAGTTTTGGGACTCGCATCCAGCCACTGGTCCTTCCGATAGCTGGACCATCCATGGGTCAATCATCTCCCCTGTATTTTTCCTAGAAAATACATTGGATAAACTGCAACAGCTGATACATTCCCATCACAATATAACTATTTTGATCTTTTAATTAGTCTTTGGGTAAGCTTTCAAACAAAAATCTGGCGCTCAACAAGAAGAAGAAGAAGAAAAAAACAAACTGATCTATTTTGGTCCTTCATAGCCCGACAATTGCGATGGAACCTACGAAGCTTCCTGTGACTCGGGACGACAGTACCATAACATCACCCAGATCTTGGAACAGGGCGGCGGTCAAGAGGCCCTATCGGTGATGAAGGAATTTTGGAAGGATCAACACGGAAACGATGAAACTTTCTGGGAACACGAATGGTCTGGCCCCTACTAGTATCCTCCTTCAGTGCAAAGAATCTCAACTAACTAACCTTCGGACGCGCTTCCTCTGTTAACCTATTGATCTTCATCTTTAAAAGGGCTAAACACGGTACTTGTATCAGCACCCTCGAACCTCACTGCATGGGCTCATCCTACAAACCTCGTGAGTATCATCTCATAAATCTAGAATCTATCCACAACTTCGGATTACGCCATATTCTGATATCCAATCCGACGAAAATATGATACTCCAGAATCTGAGGTGGTCACTTTCTTTAACCGGACGGTCGACTTGGTAGGCAATTCATTTCGAGAAAGATCATCAAGTTCAACCTAGAGAGAGGGAGAGACTGAATGGACAATGGTTCTCTAGTTCAAAAGCTTGCCGACGTACGAGTGGCTCAAAGCAGCCAACATCGTCCCCTCAGCGACGACTACGTACAATCTCGACCAGCTCCAAGAGGTTGCGAAACAATACACTGGTCAAGAGGCGGTGTGGAACTGTCGAGGTCACGTGTTGAATGAAGTCTGGTGGCATGTAAGTCAAATCGATCAAAAAACCTGTTTTTTTTTGTGTGTGTGTGGCTCAATCCTCTCATCGAGATGCTGAAGTGTCCATCTATTCCTTCAGTTCAATACCGTCGGAACTGTTGCCGATGGGAAGTTTGTCCATGCTAGTCCAGTAGGCCCGTGAGCTGTCCCTCTTTTCCATACCGATTTCCAGATATTTTCGTCTTGAAACTGACTACTGCTGGACTTGTCTCAGTCGATCCACCTGTCCTTATAAAGGCATCCAGTACCTACCGAAGGTATGGTTTTTTTTTCATTCTGAAAGGTCAAGTCACTTCCACACAAACTAATAATCTCCTGGGCATCGTTTGCAATCCTTAGGGCCATAGTGGTGGAGGTGGCGGCGGCGGCGGCGACCACCGTCCAAAGCATCCAGGTCACCAGCCAGGCAACCCGCCGAGTGACCGGAAACATTTCATCTACGTAGTTGATGAGCATGGCCAACGGAACGGATGTTTGATCAGCAACGGGAACTGGTTGAGCCGGGCCACCTGTGCCTCCTTCTCAGTCTCTGTCGGTCACGACGACAAAGCCCTCCTCGAGATCCGCACCCGCAGAGGAGCTTGTGCGTTTGAGGACTCGGGCTTCAGATGCGCTAAAGGACTCAAATCGGAAGGCTTTGAAAAAGTGCGTCCTTCTTTGATTTCAGTCGTTTTTTTTTTGTTAGTCCAATTGGTTTATACCTCAACATGCGTTTTTCTAGAATGGTGATCGACTAGTGTACGAAGGTCAAGAAGTCTTTTACTCGGATAAACTACCAGAGGGCACCACTCAAGTCCCGATCCTCAAATCGAAATCCAAGAACTCCATTTACCTGGAGATCGCCGACGCTCATTGAAATCATCCACCACCTGATATCTTTTTTTTTTTTTTTTTTAATTCACTCCTTTGTAATCCTCATCGTTTAATAATCTCCTATTGCTAGCATGTACACACCGACACTTCCTGCTCTTTCCATCATCTCCCTTCAAGAACACTGTAGTGCTCCTTTTTTCGCCCTTTTCATTCTACTTTTTTTTGGTCGGCCCCTTCCCTTCCCCCTGTTTTATTGAAGAAGAAAGCGGGATGGTCGGGGGGGGGCGTTCTTGGGACAGTTGCATAAGTCTTACAGGATCTTTCAAACTTCCTCACATTGTAACCCTCTTGTTGTTCTTTTTTGTACATCGCTGTAACTTTTTGATTGTTATCAGTGGAATAGCCCCAAATACACTTGCAACAATCATCGAAAGCTGACACAAAGACTTTTCACACTTCACTGCACCCGGAGAGCTAAAACAAAGACAGAAACCACTCATATTTTCACCCCATGACAGTCGAGCGTGTGTAGTACATGTGTTTAGATGGAATAGACTTGTTTTCATGATCTTAATATTACATATTTTAGACTACACGTGATGATCCTCTGTAAATTCCACTACTACTGAAAAAAATTGAGAGAAAACTAATTGTTCTTGTTGATTAAGTTAATGCCACTCATCTATGTGCTCAAAAAACAGCAAAAAGATAAAAATGTGAGTATAGCAATGGAATGAATCGATGGCTATTCGTCTTGATGATCTTTCTACAAAGCAAAGTAAATCTAAACTAAACTAAAATGATGTGCAACGTGTGTGTTCGCTTCCATGCATGTTTGAACTATTGACGAAAACGAAGAAGGTTAAAGAGCTGCGTGAATTAATGTATGTAAAGGCAGCAAGAAAAGCAGTGATTCGTTTGTGAATGAGAAGGGGAGAATGAACAATCATTCTGGCCACTTATATGAGATTTTATACAAGAATGTGAAGAAACGATGCGGAGAGATGAAGAAAGAGCAATCTATCTGAGTAGAGCGAGAGAGATTATTAAGGTTCGCGACAGTTAACTTGAAAGATCGTGGCGTTGTAGTTGGAGATTTGGGTTGGGATGGGTTTGAGGAGGCCTTTGTGTTTCTTAGTCACCGACGCACGGGGTTTGCCGATGACGAGTGCAGAGAGTTGTCGGCCATACACACAGCCGCTGTCGAGGCCGATGGACCAAGGCTTAACGGTGAGGCCCTTGCCGGCCCAATGTCCATAGACAACGTATTGGGCACGCTCGCACCAGGCCCGGGCAGCCGAGCTGGTCATCGAGGTCTGATTGCAGCTCCGCATCGTTTTGTTCCAGTACTTGTACCACGGCTTGCCCTTGTTCGCATCCTTCGTCGGCCGACGACCCTTCTTAAGCCCGCGCATCTCCAAAAGCGTGTATGACTCCTTGTTCTCCTTGACTCCAAGTAATGACATCACCTCTCGTGCCATATCCGCCTCGGGTTCGTTAGGCGGGACCCAGGGTAGCATTCCAGCATGAACGAAGTAAGTCCTGTTCGAATTGGAGGTAATCAAGTTCAACTAAGCTTACGATGGCGTTGTGTACGACCCCTGGAGAGAAGAAGAAAAAACTGACCTCAGAGGGGAGACATAGATTGTCAGACTGCGTTCCAAGAGCCAGTGAAAATCGATCTTGGGCAATCGACGAGCGATCTCGAAGTGTTGGGTGCCCCAATCCATTCCATTTGGGAGTTTCTTCTTGAGATCCTGAGGAGGCTTGGAGGCTTGGAGCCAAAGGTCAGACTGGAGGTTGGCATGGTCGTCCGAATTGTAGCCGAGGACTTGGTCCGGCTCGACAAATTTCGCTCGATTGAGCTCCATCCAGTTCCTCCAGATGATGATGTATTCGTCATGGTTCCCTCGCACTGCCTCGAACTTGGACTCTCGGCAGTAGCGAATTGTGTCGAGCGAGGCTTGGATGTTGGGATGTTTGGCAGCCAGGTCTCCGACGATAAGTACGGTGTCTGCTTGAGGATCGTGGTTCAAATTTTTGAGCAGCTCCCTATTAGAATCATTATCCCATCATGACGAGTCAGTTCTGCGTGGAAATCTGGATCATCTGAGAGTGCTGGAGAGAGAAGACTTACTTTAATGAATGACCCATACCATGGACATCACCGAACGTTATGAGTCGATGATCTGAGTTGGGGTCCCAGTCAGAGAGGATGTTTTTATGCCAGACGAACTAGAAAAACAAAGAAACGAAATGACGCAGACAGATTCAGTCAAGTTGCTAGAGAAGTTATAGAGCGAGGTATCTCGAAATTACTCACTTTATCGTAGTCCTCATGGTCAGGCTTTTGGGTTGCGAGATGCTGAGGACGACGGAATAAGCGGTTGAAAAGATTGCTGAGTTTGGTTGAGTCCAAGTAGGAGGTGTAGTTGAGGGTCAGGAGGAGTATGCTGGTGAGTAGGAATAGGGAGATGGTCCTGAGTCTGCGACGGTCATGTGGTTTCGGCTTGAGTTGGAAAAGCAATGGATGTTTAGAATCTGGCTCCATAGTTTCTCCTTTCGAGCTTGATCTTTGAAGCTACTTAAATATGTACTGCAGTATGTGAGAGAGTGGTAAACAGCTCGTAAAGAAGTGGTTGTTGCTGCTGTTCTTCTGGTGTGGTGGTGGTTGCTGTGTGAAAAGCTGAAAGGGTTGAGGGTGAATGGAGGCTGCTCTGATTGGTCAGAACTCAAATTATTCATTCACATGTCCAAAACTGCTAAAAAACTCAGACCGAAACTCAGCAAGAACTCCGCTCCAAAGACACCTGTACCTGGAAAATCGAGTCAGGCCATCAGCCCGATCGATGTGATCTTCAGCATCAGATCGGGGATCCAAGGGACCTAGACCGACAATTGTGTGTATCTTATTGTAGCTTCAAGGATTCGTTTACAAAACAATCAGTTATCATCAGCCAACTCCTTAACGCATGTTCCCACCCCTTACTGGGAGCCAGTTACCAGTTGCAGTGCCCTGATATTGACAATCCACACTTGGAGAATGATACAAAATGGCACCTATTTACGTAGTTTGTTCACAACCTTACACAGTCTACATTGTAAAAAGCTGGTATCGAGACGGTTAATCGACAGTTATGAAACTTGTAGACTCTTTTCGATAAAATGCCAGGCTGGAATGAGCTACTGTTATGGCAGAAAGGGTAAAATCGTCGTTGGATGGTCGGCCACATCGCGGCTAGGCATCTAGCACCATTCTAATTAACAAGAATCAATTGCTTCAAAAGGCTGGCCGGAGATCAGCAAAGCCTGAACAACTTTGGGTTAGTGCAATGGAGAGGACGGAATAAGGTGCAATGCAAGAGGCCTGATGAGGCGCATCGGTTAGAGTACAGTCTACTACAAAGGATGTTCAACTCTCAACCTTCGGCATGATCAGTGCCTTCACCTTGGCCCCTGCAGGTCCAGTCGTTGGTGCCAAGTTGAAGGGTGGGGGAGGTTCAGGAGTTGAAACGGGCCGGGATGCAGGCGTGAGGTTCCGGCTTGTTTCCCGACTGATTTGAGGGACGGAGCTGGACGCACATGAGGTGGCAACCAGCGCCGCCGAGACTTCTTTGGGATTGTGTTGCCGATCAGCTTCGTCTACAAACGCATTCGTCGCACGGGTGAACCGGAGGGAAAATCTTCGAGGGCAAGGATCAAGTGCGCAAAAGAAGACTGGAAAACCGGCGCAAGCAACGAATATAGTCAGGAACTGCTGAGACGGTCAAGACTATTGTATACATCTAATATTGATGATAAGAAAGTTAAAGGAGTCAAGTTGGAAGTCAAGAGATAGGTTACGCACATGTGGTTTTCAGACATTAATTGGCAATGTCGTTGCAGGGAAAATGATGAGGATAATGATGGGCGAGTTGCGACTCATCCATCGCACTACACATTGCGATTGTCGTGTGTGACTGGGCAACAGCAGGTAGTGGGAGATGGTCTGAGACCATCCGAGACCATCATGTACCATCAGAATGATCGGGCTTGCCACCAAGCAAGATCACCATGTTTAAAAAGGGAGTCCCTGTAGCAGCCTGGCAACAGGCCAAACATTTATCTCGCCGACCCTGATAATCAAAAGTTTCATTGGCGCGTTCTTCAGTGCAGTTCACCTTTCCGTTTGGCAATCCGATTTTCGACTCAGCAGCATTCAGCTATACTAGAAAGCGGACGTGACCTGAAATTCAAAATCAGAATCAGATAAATTAAAATACTCAACATACGCGATCGCCTCTTCTCTCTCCGACTGACCCAGACCGGCGCGGCATTCAATACCATCCCTTCTGCTCGCAGGCCACAAACCGAGGTTTTTGCGTCAACCAATTGATTAGATTCACAAGAATTCGCGGCAACATACTGAACTTCGAGGCCTAGTCGGTGCTGTGAGTATCAAGAAGAAGTCTTTGTTGTGGATGAATATAGTGTTTGCGCAGTTTGACCTGAACTTCATGAATCTGTCAATGTTCTTGCAGCTATTCTTAAAAAGGGAGGAGGCCAAGCCAAATGTTCATCTAAGGACCTGGAAGACCGAATCTTGTCAACCAACATGTCCCCTAGCACCACTCGACTGAAATATTGGAATGCGATCATCTTTTTCACTTTATCTCTCAAGCCTTTGGTCAGCATTTCATCACCAACATCTTCGTTGAAGGGTGACCAAGCGCTTCCTCTCACTTGGCTTGACTTGGAAATCGAACCTCCGTTCTTCAAAGTCGATCAACAATCATTTCAAGCACTTGATTACGACTTTGTTTCAAGGGACGCGTCGGCCATAATCCAGAATTTGCGAATTGATACAGCCGGACGTCATCTTCGAAAACGCGATGTTGACCCAAGCATTGTTTACAATAATAGTATCAACGCTGGTGTCCCCCAACCCTTGTCGAAGGCCACCAAAAAGCTATTCAAGATATATCCAGATGTAAGCTCATTCTTGTCCTTTTTTAATTATTTATCGTTTTGCACTAAGATCACACCAAATCTTTCAATCCTCTCTTTGTTCACCGATATGAAGGTCCGTACTGTATATATAGCCATGGCCCTGATTCCAGCTTTCATAATATGCTACGGGACGCTTTCAACTTTTATCCGATCCAAACTACATCTAGGCGAAGCTATGCTTGCTGTTACCTTTGGGATCTTGCTTGGGCCGTATGTCGCTGGAATATTTGATCCGCGCTCATGGGGAGGAGAGGCGAGCTTTGACGAGGTGACCCTCGAGATCACCAGGATAATCGTCGCCTTGGATGTGTTCTCAGTTGGGGTCGAATTGCCTGCAGCTTACATTCTGCATCACTGGCGCACCATGATCTGCTTACTTGGACCAGTCATGCTGGCCGGTTGGTTTATCACTGGCGCCTTTATCTTGATCTTCGTCCCGGCCCTCTCGTATCTTGAAGCCTTAGCCATTGCCGCCTGCATCTGCCCAACTGATGTGCTCCTTGCTTCTTCAGTCGTTGGGAAGGGGAAGTATGCAAAAAACCACGTTCCAGCACACCTAAGACACATGTTGCAGGCTGAAGCTGGTGCCAATGATGGAATCGCTATTTTACTGTTATACTTGACTCTGTTCATTCTCTTGAGGAAAGATTACTCAGTTGCACATGCCATCGGGAGTTGGGTCTGTCCAACATCTCTCTCTTCCATTATCTTGAAAATTTAGCTGACCTTTAATGCATCTAACCGGGGCTTACTCCAACATAAATAGGTCACAATTACTGCCTTGTATCATATAATGGTAGGAATCGTCATGGGCGTGGTTGCAGGAATCCTCGTGCGCGAGGGATTGAAATTTTCTGAAAAGCATGAACTTATCGACACTGAATCCATGGTGCCGATATACATCTCTCTGGCACTTCTGACCGCCGGTGTTTGCGTACTGGCTGGAACCGACGATATCGTAGCTGCATTTGCTTGTGGGACGGCTTTTGGATGGGATGGCTATTTTTCTGAAGAGGTTGAAGCTTCCAATTTTTCCGCCATCATCTCCAACTTAGTCAACAGTAAGCTCATTGTCTCATTTAATGAAAACTTTCAATCACTAAGCAGTCTTGGTTGTGCTAAGCTTTTGATTTTGTAATGCTTGCCGGAGTAGCTTTTGCATTCATCTACGTTGGGGCCACCATCCCGTTCAGAGCATGGAACGATGCTGTCTTGACATTGGTAGCCTGGAAAATGTTTTTGCTGGTACTTTCCATCCTCCTCCTGCGAAGGTTGCCGATAATGTTTCTTTTGCGAAAACTCATACCGGAGTTGAGAACAAACAAAGAAGCCCTGTTTTGCGCACATTTTGGTCCAATCGGTCTGTGCCACTCATGACTGCTTGCTTGTAAGATCATAAGATTGTCTCCGCTGACTCTCCTTATCTCACTTTTTACCTTCAGGAGTCAGTGGACTCTTCATCAGTTTTTTGGCAACAAAAAAGCTCCCAACACCTAACGTTCCAGCAGAATCCAGTCTTGATATCCTTTCTTTGACAATACAGCCAATCTTGTATCTGCTGATATTCTGCTCTACATTCATCCATGGCCTTTCTATCCCGTTCTTCACAATAACTAAAAGTATACGCTCTCGAGCAAATTCCATGAGAAGGAGCGGCTCATTATCGTCTGGCAGGCCCAGTTTCAGTCGCCATCGAGGCAGCACATCTGAGCGACCAAGTTTATCTATCCAACGAAGAAGTTTGTCCATGCATGAAAGCGGTAAGCCTAGCCATTTCCTGAGACTAAATGATGGTATCTTCCTGAGTGATTCTGATCCAAAAAAAAAAACATGGCGCCTTACAATTCAATCAAGGTCCCATATCCCCCATAGGACCTTTGTCCCCCTTACTCCCACAGGTGACCCTCACACCATATCTCCAACCCATGTCCATGCATCAGCAGCTAGGGAATAGAGCAAGCCCCACTTCTCAGCCAGAGCTCGAAAGCCAATTCCCTGGAAATCAGCCCAATCAAAGTTCAAATGAGGTGATCATAACACACGCCACTTTGAATCCAATCATGTGCGAAGATGAAGCAACAAACAAAGGGCAGCCTTTGATGCCAACAAAAGTCGAAAAGACTTTCCTCAGTCCTTCGGATTCTCATCGGGCAATCCAGCTGACAGGAAGCAGTCCCAGAAACAGTGTATCTTGGTTAGATTTTAGCTCAGAAAAAGTCGAATTGTCTGGGTTAGAGGGCAGCACTTCAAAAAGGACAAGTGAGTCTTCAGTGTTTCCTAATCAGCAATCATACCATCATGGCCTCTGATACCACTTTACCCCTAACTCAGGTGCAATTCGGGAGGCTGAGGCTCGGGATGGGGGAGAAGATGACATGGTAAGTTTGGTAAGCAATTCAAGTTGATTACTTGAGTTGGTATCACATTAACATTGGCTGGGACTACTTGCAGTGCTTAACGGAAGGATGCAGTAGGGAAGGTGTCGAACGAGATTCACAACACAGTAGAGGGCCAGTAATGATGGGCGAGTGGGAATCAGATCAGTGGGAAGGGGAAGAGGTGGAGAATAATGGATCACCAAGAACAACACCCCCTCAAGCTACTCATGAGCTTCATGCTTGCTTGCCGTGCATCACACGTCCAAGAAGCTTTTCGGGTCGCATAACCCGTGATCTGAAGCACGAGAGCCGGAGGATTTCGAGAGTATCAAATGGTAACACCATACAGGAAGCTATCGCAGAGAGGCGAAGACGATCAGTTTCCAGCTCAGATTTGTCAAGTTCCCCTTCACTGCATTGTTCACCCAAGTTCGACTCAGATGGAAGCCCTGGCAAGTCCAACATCAGTGGCAGCAGCCCTGGAAGATCCGACACCAATGAGCTTAAATCCAAGGTCCAAGGCCAGTGGCAGAGCGAGCCAGGCGGCACTGTGAACCCTTTTCAGCATCAATTTGTTTTCACTCCCAATGAAAATAGTGTGGATACAGACGAGATAAAAGCATGGCCTGCTGGCGGAAGCTCTATCTACCCTTCACCAACTCCTTGGCAAAACCTAACGAAAAACAGTGGATCAAATGCAGAAGTGGCTGTTCAATCCAATTATTTGGATCCTACCTATTACAGGATGCCTGGTCCCTCAACTGGAGAGACTGTCAACGTACCATTGGTGCGGAGAGAAAGCTACAGTAGTTCTTTTGAAGGTCAGTTAACCCAATAAAAAAGTTCGTGCTGTCAGAATGCTGACTTCTGAAATATCCGGAATTAGCTGCAATCCATAGGGACTGTCAAAATTATAAAAAACGCTACTATGCACATTAGGAAAAATCTCCCAACAATCTTCACTTTGAGCTTGTTGAAGGACAATTCTGTTCCAAGAAAAATTGAATCCACTAACAGTATGTAGCCAGACTTGTAGGTTTAGTTGTCAAAAATAAAACTTGAACTTTTCATACATAAATATTCAGCAAGTACTGCCTAATCCCAGTCTGGATCTGTGTGCCCAATTTACTCTTGCCAAGTATCCAAGACACAATTTACATATCCACACTTATCTGACTGACAACACTGGGCTGCTACTCTTTTTGCCCAAAAAGTGTTAGCATAGTGGTTCTTTTTGCGCGCCAAAATTGTGTAGTGTTAGCAAAAAGTTAGCGGTTTTCTTGCTACACCACACTGCACTATGGACTGCTCATGGCCCCTACAGCGCCCAAATGCCGCTAACCAGTGCTTTAGTGCAGCGTAGCAGGCACATTTTAAGGGCCTACATGCATAGTGTTATAGTGGACATGGCAGAATTCCGCTACGCTACGCTAAAGCTTAGTGGAATTCTGCTGCGTCATGCTGCACTAACCACTATGGTTAGTGTAGAGGCCCACATTTGTGACTCAGAAACAGCCATTAGGACGGTTCACGTCTGGCTTTTTAGCCACTTTGCTGGTCAGCTGTTTTGCTGGTCTGGTAAAATTTTACTGTAATTTTGATTGCTTGCGCAAAAAAAAACTTGCTGGTTGGTTGCTGCTCATACTAATCTCTCTTAAACTATTTGCTAAAATTCGATCCCCCCAAGTTCCACTCAGGCTCAACTCTCAACTTCTTTCAACTTGCGGTATCACCGATCAGCCACAAACCACATCAAAAAATCACGCCAGAACCAACCAGCCTACCTCAAAACAACTGCTCTTGTAAGTCATGAGTTTGAGATTCAGGGATCTAACAGCTCAACTTACCTTGTTCACAACATTCTACAATCTCAGGCTATGGATAATGTGTCATTGACCATCAATTGATTGTTGGGGCAGCATTGCCTTCGACCAGCCAAACTTGTCAGCCAAAGCCCAAACGTTCTTGTCGCACCAATGCTCAAATGAAGGCACATCGTACAGAAAAAGAAAAGCTCAAAACGGCAAGGGAGGAACTCAAGGCGGACCGCAAGCGCCTTGCACAGGAAGAAAAAAATCAAGCAAGAAAATCAACTGGCACCGGCTCCAAATCTTCGAAGAATGAAGACCGCGGCAAGAATTTTGACCATAAGGATTTCGAAAACATATGTAGTTATCTCGAGACACCTGGACACTACACCGATCTGTTCGGCAATGGCCAAAAGACTAGTGTAGGCCAAGCAAAGTTGACAAAAGCAAAGGCCTTTGATGTATTTGCTGTGTGGATGAACAGTCTCAATCCAGATCTCCAACTGAGTGGTCGCCGACTTCAACAACGTCTCACTTCTTACAAGCAGAAATATATCAAATCAAAAAACTTTGAAGAGAAAACCGGCGCCGGGGTGCTTGACGAGCATGGTCCTCAGACTCTAGCTGAAATTCTCGAAGACATGTGCCCATGTCATGATTGTATTGATACAATCTTCCGAGACAAGCCAAACGTCACTCCGATGCATGAATTCGACCATTCACTCGCCTCGGCCACATTGCTTCCTAATGAAGAACTCACCGACGGAGAGTCTAGTGGAAGTTCATCCTCTCAGTCTCATGGTCTGATCGGTGGCTTGAATTACGATCCAATCTTGGAGGATTTGGATGTTGAAATGTTATCGACGACTCCTGCGGTATCAACGACTCATGCGGTATCAACGACTCCTGCGGTATCAACAACTCCTGCGGTATTGACGACTCCTGCGGTATCAAACAATCCAGTGGTTCCTGCAATCCAATCTGATTCGCCTGCGATACGATCCGATCCGATTCCTGAAAATGATCCAATTTCCGATTCAGCTACCACCCACCACAATCAGCCCCCTGTACCAATTCCATCGGGCTCCACCCAAACTTTGGTGGCCCCTGCCAATGCAGCTTTGGAGGTGCTACGTCGAAGGGCTAGTAATGCTCCAGATCCAAAATCCAAGCCAAATCTTGCGACTTCTTTTACTCAGGGAAACGATCGAAAATTTGATATGTTAGAAAAACAAATTAAGATTGATCAACAACGATGGAATCATCAGGTTGCACAATCAAAGCTAGAAGAAAGCCGAGCCGACAGGAAGGAGAAAAGGGAGGTGGATCTTGAGGACAGGCGATTAAAGTTTGAGGAGGAGCAATTCAATCGACTTCAAAAACAAGAAGAAGCAAGAGTCTCAGGGTTGAAAGAGGTAGAAGTCGAAAAGAAACAAATGGTCAACAAGATGCTCCAAGAAGGCAGATCACCAAATGAGATCACTGCCTTAGTGCGCCTGATTTATGGATAGGCTAGTTTTATTTCATCTTCAAATCCTCTACACTCAACCACTTGCCCAAATCCCCATTCATCAATTTCTTAAAAGAAATTCATCACCTGTTGTTGTTAAATACATGATTATCTCTCTCCTGATATTTAAAAATTCTCATTCATTTTTAATTGTAAATACACGATTATAGCCTTATGTGGGCACTAAAAAGGTAAAACTCCTAATTCATAGTTAAATGAAACACATTCATGGGTTAATTGAGAGCGGAAAGTTTCGTCGGTAGCAGCAGGAATCTGATCATCATCGCTGGATTCAGCTGAAGGGTCAAGGTTTTGGTCTTCAGGTGCCAACTCGGTCCATTGATCACCAAGTGTTGCTAAAAGGTTATGGAGGATGATACAGCTATAAAACCAGGCAAGATATTGCCTCATATGACCCCGATTATACAGATGCAATCGCATCTCCCGCAAAGAAGCCCATCGAGACTTGAGGATACCAATTGTATGTTCGTTTCTCACTCGAGCCTTGGCCAGACAGTAGTTGAAATCGGTATTGATGAGGACCTCTGTCGCAGGTGCTTTATATGCAGGAATGGTAGTTCTTGTAAGATCATACGCTGAATCAGCGAGCAGATACTGACCTTTCCATTCAAAGATGATGTCAACAGAGGATCACCAAATAACAGCAAGATCGGATAGGAGATGGACTTACCCTGATCAAAGAATTGTGATGGGTTCTGATGGAGCTGCATCCGCTGGTAGACCTTACTATCACCACATGATCCTGGCCATCCAGAGATGAAAGATGTGATGAACCTATCACAATCACACACAATCTGAGCATTCATAGAGTATCGTTTCTTGCGATCGAAAAACGTCTCGCCATCAAATCCTGGGCGTTGGAAGATTGGGATAGTAGTACCGTCAACAAACCCAACACATCCAGAAAACCCCTCCATTCGCATAACTTCCGATATCTCGGCACGGCGATCCTTATCAGGCCATTGGACGTACACCCGTCCCATTGATATGAGAGCCTCGATGACTCGACGGGTTACCTTTACTACAGTACCTCGAGCAACTTGCAGATTTCGAGAGAACCGGCCTACAGAGGCACCGTTGCCATTCGAACCAAGTCGTTCAAGCGTAAGAGCAAGTTGATGAGGAATTGGTAGCTGAGGTCTATGCCCCCCACGATGAAAAACTTCATTGTCAAAAATCGTATCGAGCACTTTGATGAAACCGTGTTTGGTTGTTCTTGCTGCCTGTCGGAAGTCATTATCCGACATGTCGAAAAGCCTTTCAATATCAAATTCTCCTCATGATTTTGGCGCCCCCCGTGGCTCTAGGTATCGGTTCGATAACATGTACTGCAGAAGGTCCTGATACTCAGTCTCGTCGCTGAACAAGGCGTTGTAGGTGGTCTGCAGGATTTGACTATGGGGGAATGCAAGCTCGGCCATCGATTGTAGAGGCCTGATTCCAACTGCCCGCTCGACCATCAAATCTGTTTCTTCATACTCCAGCCGTAATAGTATCATTAAGATTTCCCTGATTAGACACTGCCTCTCGGAGTACTGTCTCATGACTCTAGAGAATGGCCTGATAGTTAGTCATCTAAAGAAACTAAGGGAATTACACATTAACAAAAGATACTCACAATGTGGTAGTTGATTTCTAGCTCTGTGAGAGGTCACAGTCAAGATGGAACAGGAAGATAACGATCGGGATGTACTGGCTGAAAATGATCAGCCTGTTTCCATCTGCTGGTGCAGTGCTGGTGTGTCTAAATTTTTTCGTAAATTTTATTGCTTTTTTTATTAACAGCAAGCTGATGGCTGACCAGCAAAGCGGCTAAAAAGCCAGACGTGAACCGTCCTATTGCAAGTTTTTTATCCCATCCTTTCTTAAATGAAAAACTCAACATAAACTGAAAGAAAGTGGAGACCTTCAAAGTCTGTATACACATTGCCCTTGAATACTTACTAGTACTTCCCAGGCTGATGTAGAAGGGGAAGATGCATCACTTGATGATATGTGCCATTCAAAGTGGTAATTCATGAACCCAAGTGCTACTCATACAACTGAGAGTGGCACAGGAAAAACAAAAGCAGTGCAGAGAACCAAGTTTCTTCAGGAAAATATTTACACATGTTGATGTCTCAAATCCTTTATTTCTTGCCAACTTATTTAGAAAATACATATATTGACAAGTAGAATTACTCATACAAGGAGTACAAATGAGTTCTTATGAGAACAAATAGATCAATGAAAAATATCAGTGAAATCATGTGTAGAGACCAAACCAGAGCATGCTCAGAGAGATGGAGGAAGAGTTGAAAATTATCCAATGGGGCACGGCATATTAATTGATGTTTGAGGGCTGAGATTAGCATGTCTTGTCTGGTTTCCAATGATTTTGCAATGTTTTCTGGTGGAAAATCAACAACATATTGTGAAAAATTATGGAAGGCAAGTTTGCATTTCCAATTTTAATTGAAGAGAGGGGGAGTAGGGAAGTGACATGATTCAAAGCAACACTAAAACAGAGGCAAGACAAGACAATATACGGTGTTTATTTGTATTGTCTCAGAATTTGAATACCCCAAAATACCAAACCTTATTTTTCTCACTTTATCCAGATTGGGGTAATTCAAATTCAGATAAGCTCTTTCTAAAGCCATATTTGTGTCAAACATGTTAACTAATCAAGCCTTTTCATGAGACATCCATAACACACAAGTTCTATTCTTATGTGAGGTGGCTCTTTCCCTAACTTGATAACTCTCCTTGAGTTTGGAAGGGGGATCCTGTTCCACTGCCACCCTCAAAAGCAAAGAATTTCTCTTATCCAAGTACAAAGAAAGCTTTTTGTTCAAATTTTGAAAAACTTCACTTGATGAAAAGACACACTGAATTGCTCCAGGAGACTGTGGGACTGGAAACCAGCTTCTTCTCAGCTTATCCAGTGTTGGATAAGTTTGAAAAAACCTTCCATTTTTCCTTGTTCAAGGCTCCCTTGGAGAATGAAGATTTGAGATCCAATTCTAGCAGCAATGCTCTGGATATTAATGTATCCATTTGGGTAAACAGGTGACCCTGCTCAAGCCACAGGAACATGGCCAATTGAACTCAGTAAGGATAAGTATCTACAAGTTTCAGACAAATCTTCTTAAGATGAACTGATGTACAACATACATACAAAGCAGAGTAGGAAAAATTAACAAAAAAGTCAAAAGCTGAGGAAACCAAAAAAATGGTCTCTCCTTTTTTTAAACAAAACATCAAATTGAATCATGAGGAACAAAAATAGCAAGGAAAAAGTGCAACAGGCAGTGATTTTTTTTGGAAAAAAACTGGCAACAACATGTTTGTCTATGGATCAATGAAGGCCAGGTACTGGATGTTTCAAAGCAAGATCAGACTGAGACTCTTCAGCTATGTAGTTCCTGCTGGTATTTAGCAAAATTTGTTCAAGGAAATTCCTCATTTAGCTTCTCTAGCCTGCTAGGAATTTTCCTCTCCTCAACAGTAAGTACTACATGTCTATCAACTACAGAGGCTGGGCTTCTGCTAGCTAGACCTTTGAAAGCCTCTGATTCCTGCTGGGCTCATTCCTAAAGTAAATGAATCAATTGCAGTTAGTTTAGATTTAGATCAGAAATGTAGAGTTTAATTTGTTGCTAGCCTTTGAAATGCTCACTTATGGTCATTTGAAGATGATCATTCTGGGTTAATTGTTGATTCTGTTCTTTGTTCTATCTTGAGCCAAGTTGGTGTGTTGATCAATGTCAAAGGAGCAATTATTCATGCTGGTCCTGTCTTCCAGGCTTTCAATCCTACTTTCAAGTAATTGGATTCACAGGTAAAATCCTCTGGAGAGTTGCTATCCGGTCCTCAAGCATCTTCTCAAATACACCTGACGACTGCTGGAGCAGGTTGATTAGTTGATCTGAGCGTTGTTTTTGGTCTTCAAGATTGGACTGGAGTGTCTGGCAATCAGATAGGGAGTCATAGAAGGTCTCAAACAATTGTAGGAACAAGTGCTTGGGTGGGATTCCTGGACCACCTGCTGATGCAACACTGTGGTGGTGAGGTGCCTGTTGAGGGCATGTCAAGCTGGAAGTTGAAAGCTGGGTGTTGCATGCTTGAGGATCAGGAACCTTGGAGGATAGACATGGATTACTCTGATTACCAGTGCTACATATTTCATTCATCCTATCTTGGTGCTGGTTTCTAGATTCTTTAGAATTGCTAAATGTAGGCATTGTATTTGATGATCTGGAATCTGAGGGGGGTATCTTGGCATGCTGGATTTTTAGATTATCTGACTGTCTGGTTTGCAGAACACTTCCATGACTTTGACTTTGTTTGTTCATCAGATGTGTGAGGGATGGGACTTGTATCACAGAACCTGCATGTATTGTCTTCCGTCGCTCAAGGCCTTGACTGGAGGAAAATGAGGCAAAATGGGGATGTCCAGGACCAGGATCATGGCTAATTTTGGTGGTAATGTTGGGTTGCATTGGTTTTTTGATTCCATGGTTCAGATTAGGCAGTTGAGAGTTGACTTTGGCAATTGAGAATGGCTGTTGAAAGTTGTGAACATGGCTTTTACATGTGATTTCCTGTTGACCATTCATGTTTTTTGGGGAATCTTGTGCCATTTTAGTCACATCTTCATTTTGAGGGGGGACTTGCAAAAACCCACTGCAAATTGGAGCAGACTTGATTGATTGATGTTCAAGCAGATGGACTTGGGAATCTTGAGAGGTTAGGACCATACCTTTCACCTTTTCTCTGACCTCCTGACCTCTTCGGCTGGCAATGACTGAACCAGACCCAAATGAAGGATGGCATTTGGGGTTGTCAGAATTTGAGACAGGTGAACTGTGAGTCTGATGATTTTGAGCAGCCTTCTGGTGCGGTTGGTAAGAAACAGATTTTTGCCTGCTGAAATCAGCTATTTTAATTGAGGATACATTGATGTTAGGAGGTGGTTTCTGTGGTTTTAGGTTGTTGGATGAAGGTGTATGATTGTCTGACTCTGGGTGCCAAATCAGTTTCATAAGTCCATTCTTTTTGTTGTGTGTTGATGAGGCAATTTTAGCAGCAATTGTCTGATCAACAGAGCATGATAAGGAGGCTGAATTCAAACAAGAATGCCCAGCAGATGAATTTCTCCGTTGTTCAATTAACTGCTTTTGCTCTTCCCTTAACTTGATTACTTGTTGCATTGCAGTTAGATTTTGAGGTTGGAGGAAGCCAATAGCAAGTGGACTAGTAGGCTCTTCAATGGCTTCAGGTTTATGTTTTGGTACTGGATTTTGGTTGGCTATTTGAGGGTCTGGAGAGCTTGAGGATAATTTTGATGAAGCCAACAGAGCATGCTTATCACAGGGCTTTATCAATTTCTGTTCATGTGCAGCAGTCATCTGTTGTCCTTTTATTGAATTTCTAGCTTCAATAGGCTTTACATCTTGTTGAGCTTGCCAAACTGTCACTGAGTTTATGGGGGACAAATGATGTGGGGGATTTGATTTGTGTGTTTCAGAATCAGAGGGAGGAGGTTCGGCCCGACTGTTAGAAGAATCACAGTGGGAAATAGCAGGTGAAGTTGCTGACTGAGAGGTGAGTGGTTTTGATGGTAAATGAGGTGTGAGGTATTCTGACTTAACAAAAACCTCATTTTCGTGGGTACTGTCAGAAGTTACAGAGGCAAAAGGAGAAAGAGAAATTTCAGTGTGCAAAAATAAATAGTAATTGAGAAAGTAGAATGAATCATGAAGATGGGGAGAAGAAAAGGAAAATGCTTACACTTGTGAATTGCCTTGAGGAATATGATCATTTTTTGATTTTTTAGTTTGAGTTTTCAAAGAAGTATGCACTTCTGAGTGGACAAATCTTTCATTTCCATGGGCGGAATGATGGTCGAGCTCCGCCCGGTTGGCACTGCGCTTCAGTCGTTGATTATATAAATTCGAATCAGATGCTGTTGGGGTGATTAGGTGAGCTTGCGAGGCTCTTCTGGAGTTGGTATCGCCCCGGTGCCCTGAACATGGTGAAATGCTATTCAATCGATCGACGGAAGGTTGAGACTGGATAGGATTAAACTGTTTGTCTTGGTCGCGATCTCGACGGGCAGACGAGTCTGGATATGAACGATAAATCTTTTGATGGTTTGTTCGATTGAACGTACGGGTTGACGGTGGTGGAGAGGACTGGCTGAGCTGTGGCATAGGAGAGGCAGAATGCGCGGGGAAATTGATTGAGTGGGATAGTGAGTAGCTCGAAAACTGGGCCACCGACTTGGGATTAGATGAAAAGTAGAATGGGCGGAGAGGGGGTAAGGTTGGACCAGATGGGCAATTCTGCTGATCAGTCGACATTTGGTTTGCCCTCATTTGGCTACAGAGGGATGGTGGCGATAAGTTGTGGATTGTAGCAGTAGGAGACGAGGAGTTCGGGAGCTTCATGGAATCACCACTTGATGAATGGCGAAGAGTTGGCCTGGTGATCAGTCAAGGGAGTCGGAGGGTGGCCAGGACGACTGCTTCACCGGAGAAGAAATTGTTTATACCAATGATTATTACTAGAGTCGACCGACCGCAAGACCGTCGATGAAGACATACGTCAGTATACACAGTGCGAAACGACCACTGGACTCGAGACTGGGCAGGATGGTGTGGATCAAGCAGTCGCCGATATGAGGGGACTCAAACAACTCAGTAGGAAAGCACTACGAAGGGTAGTCTAAGCTTCATTCCAGGCTTCATCGGACAAGGCAATGTTGAGTACCTTTTCATCCAGCTCATCAACGTGCACATGAGCAGTCATCATTGTGACTCAGGTGTTCGACATCGACAAAGATGGTATTGGAAACAAAGTAAAAGGTCGTTTGTGCTGTTTGTGGATATTCCAGATGATTGCGACGGAACTTCTGAGCGAGCTTGTCATCTATGAAGCAAGTGAGGTAGCATGCCGACGCGGTGCCAAGTCCAAGCAGGCGAGGCGGGCCGTCATACCGACCCACCCAAGCTCCGTTTTAGCATACATGAGAGCATTTGTTGAGAGCACATGCAACAAGAACCCCAGCCGGCCCTCCTGAAGCGATGTCAGAGAAACTCCGGCCCGACATCATTTTCCAAAGGGTACATAGGCCACATTACAATTTTTTGGTGATGAGGACCTCATCACACCCCAGTGTGCCCATGTGGCACTCGACGTGTACCAAAGGCGAGAGCAAGCACTTGACAAGATCAAGCAATTGGAAATAAAAAGGACAATTTGAAGAGGTATATAGGAATCGAGGCAAGACGCTAAGCTTACACGTTTTATTTCTCGTCGTTTTCACTTTCACTGCTGGTCGCTCGGAGTCGTATGTGGCTTGGATATTTCGTGTTGACCTTGTTACGCTGCTCCTCTGATGATTGGAACAGTTTGCTGCAAAGAAGAACTCATTTAGTCTGGGATTTAAGGACACAACGTCAGGACCTCTAATGGGATCCAGCAAGCTTTCGTCAATCCCGCTGGCTATAACTGTATCGAGATCCTGGTGGTTGTGAGCGCGGTTGTGCTGATTAACAAGACATACATTCAATTCCTGATGAGATATGTTACCCTGGTAGCTAGCTCAACTACTCGCTGTAGCAAGTCCACCGAAGTCGATCAAACACTTTATCACTTTCCCCTGGCTCTCAACACCTCATTCCAAGAGCTTTTGATATTGCGCGCACTGAATTTGGCGACGATGCCTTTGCACGGTTCACCGGGTCGACGGTGGTCGTGATGAGTTGGGGAACTTCTCCTGCTTTCAACGATGATGGTGGTTGAGTGAGCTGATTTCGCCCGGCTGGCTGTCTAGTTGTTATCCCAGCAAAATTATCTTCTTATATGTAAGCAGCTTCTACGAGTAGATATACGTATTTATATGTGGCATAATTGCTGCAGCTGAAGGCCAGCCATCATATTTTCCCAGCGAACCGAGACTTTGGGACAGTAGACGAGTGGAGGAGAAAAAGACTCAGTCGTCCAGGACTCGTGCCGATTCTCCTTATAATAACCTGCGGTTCAGCCAATGAGCATCACGGTGCCTGCCGGACACGCAACAGGTTGCTCCACTACGCCAGGTTTCCCCAACACCGCTTTCAAGACTCCAAACAGAATAAGCTCTTCAGCACGAGACAATTGGCTCGATAAGCCTCACTGGAGCCACTACATACCTACGAAGTTGCTATGTGGGTAGTTTTACACCACGCGTGCCATCAAGGTGCCCAGGAATCAGGATCCTAGACGGGTACAGGCTTGGATGCGTAGTTACAGATTCTCCCACTTATCCTTGTCGCGTTTCGCTTTGCTGGGCTCAAAACATCCACGGTACATATACTAAACAGACATAAACTGAACATGTATCCGGGTCGAAAACTCAGGTCGAAACCGAAGTGTCTGCAGAAGTATGCACTCCGCAACACGCTTCGCCGGCGGGAAGAGCTGCGACCTCTGGCATGCTCCAGGCTGAGTATCGTGGATGTACTCTGCCTCACCTCCGATCCTCACGCCCCAAGGCGAAGGACAGAACGATGGCTGGGTGGTCACTGATCAGTGGCCATTGGCAATGACAGCGGCTGCCAAGACTAACTCCGCCGAAAGCTTCGCGCCGGGAGTCTTTTCTCTTCATGTTCGTGTCATCCGATCTGTACCCCGTATCATCATCACGTCTCGCCGTCTTAAAACGCTTGTGGTCATCAAGCTTCTGCATAATAACCCAGTTAGACGTTCCTTCAGGAGGACAGCTAGAGGGTCCCCCGCGTGCGGGGAATGCCCCTCCATCCACACATGGGGGACTTCAGTCAAGCTACGGTTGCAACGTGCAAACGGGCTCAGGCTGATTCCAATTTCCGACCACTTTCCCCGCATTTTGAGCAGTCTCAAAGGCGAAAACATGTTTGTGTTGAACACCAGAGGCATTTCTCGTACGCAAGAAGCCGTTGAAGTACTGCAGCCAGGTCCATATCGTAATTGATATTGTGTAAGTTTAACTAAGACATGATGTGTCAACTACGAGGAAGGTCTGGATCTGGATTCTGGATGGGCAAAAGCAGAATATTTGCTTGTGGACCAAGACAACTTACTGATGTGTTTTTCAGTACCATCAAAGTGAAGCACCCATGGTATCAAAGAATCTCTCTGATCTTGGGTGATAGATGATATTGCTCTAAAAATAAACCGATAAAAAAATGAATGGAAGATGATTCCAAGCTCAATGTCCAGGTCAATATTGAAATCAAAAATGACTGCACTGCTTGGATTACCTGCAAGATAGGTGAATCATTGGACACCTCTCTACAGACCAGTATCTATTGGTTACTTTTTTCATTTTTTTCAAAAAAAAAAATATAAATCAAACTGCCCTTCCTGATCTTTATTCTCATCTTTGTAACAACATATGAACTTTCTCAAACATCCAATCATGGTATTACCTTTCTTATGGTTTGAAAAGATTTTTTTCTTATTTTCATATTCATTATCTTAAAACTTTTTAAAATTGTGCAACAGTCCCCATAGCTCCAATATTCTTGTTGGTAGAACTCCTGAAATGCAAAAAACCAATCCGAATACTAGTATAATCAGCATTTTGGTGCTCATTTTTTCAGTGGATCAAACCACATGAATTGCTTGATAATTCACGAAAGAACATATTGTTTTGATGTGTGGCAAGATATTCAGCAGATTTGAACAAGAAAGGAGTTGTATTTTGCCCAAGGACAAAAAGGTAAAGTTATTAAGAAATCTTCAAGTGTATGAGGTAGAGATTGAGTCTGTAGAAGGCATGGAAAGGAACATTAAGCATGATAATCAAGATTGAAGACTCATTAATCCTTGAGGCCACAACACAACAGTTCACAGCAAAATCATGTCCTATATATATGTAGAATATGATGGCATTGAAAACATCTTTTTTTGAGTGGTTCTTCTATTGGGCTCAAAGTCACCTTTGTGTCTTATAGTAGAAAATCACTGTAATGGAGCAATGCTAGGTGTGATTGGTCCAAAACAACAACACAGTGGAGGACTTCCTGTCAGAATCCCCAGTTTTGATTTAAAGCCTTGAAAGCTAGATTTCCCTGCAAAGATCTAGACTTTTTGGGTGTAAATCATAGCCTGGGGGTGCCCCAGATCCAACAGGAAGTCCTCTGTGTTGTCTACTGCCTCAAACATAGTGAAATTTAGACATCAATCTATTTTTCATCTTTCTTTTCTCCTGAGCATATCCCTCTTTCCCTGGTGACTCCACCAGCCAGCGCATTTCTACAATGTCATCTGGTAGCTTGAAATCATACAACCTGACCTCTAAGAGGCTGAACTTCCAGCAAAATTGATGTTCATCTGCCGAAGGGTGATGGATTACAAATGCATTTATTTGGCAAGGTCCAAGTCGCCTGCCCAGCCCTTGTTTGCCTCACTGCGTGTACAGATACCCCGATCTATAAAGACAGGATATATCAAGTTTAACAAGGGGAGAGTAGATGTGATATTGATCAAGGTATGTCGTGGGGTATATCAAACATTGAATCAACTAGACTCGACACAAGTTTAGATGGGTGATTACGAAGAGCCTATTACAGGAATTACACACATCAGACACAGATCTCCGCATGTGGGTGTCCACTCGGACCAAAACATTCAGGAGATAAACTCACTTGGAGCAACTGTTCCTTCAATTCGGTGGGCAGAGAGGTCGGGCTTCTCGAATAGATGTCAATCCCAGCAGGCGTCACCAAAGTCTGGCGGAAAAAAGTGACCACCCAATCTGGTCCTGAGGGTTTTCCATTCTCATCACCGTTCTTTGAGCTCGATAAGTTATATCCAATCACCTGCCAGTCACTGCTCAGGAGCCTCAATAGCCCTTTCCCTCTCCACCTCCATTCTACTAATTGTGCGTCTTCATTCATTTCACTTTTTGGCCGATCGATCCCTTCGATCTTCCTTCGTTTTGAGCTAGGTTCATCAGTTAGGGCTCCATGGTACTCGACCAAACTGACTTCCAAGGTAAAGTTCAAAACAACCATTTTTGAGAATTGAAAAAAAAGAAGTACAGTAGACTAAAAAAGCGTGCTTACTCATACATTACACTTGATGGTTCGTTATCTAGATTAGAATAGCTGATCGTTGCGTTTTTCTTACTTTTCCAGAATGGCAATGAACTTGAAACGATGAACCATGTTTGATTTGTGAATTTATCAATGGGAAACTGACTCCATTTGAATCTTTCATCATTTGCGTTCTTGTTCGGGGTTTGGCCTGACTGGAAGTTCAACCTGGCGAGTTCGATTGAGGCCGAGGAAGAAGAAGTGGGCTGATTGTCCAGGTCCTCAAGACGATCATTGGCTGCGGTCACAGGATTAGCTGATGCCTGGGACCAAAACGGATGTTCCCACCAGTTTCCAGGGATTGGTACCGCAGAAACCTTTCCCCTCGGCTGCATGATCGAGTGCTCCTCAGCTGCAGGAACAAGGTACCACAATGTTGAGACATTATTCATTTTCAGATAGTCGAAACTCTTGTCGTAGTTCAATCCCACACGATCGGAGCCATGCGAATCATCAGATAGAGTCAATCTACCACCTAGTGAGATGATTAACTGATCAAGAGTTTGAATTTTTTGATGAGTTGGATGTAGGAAGCATCATTGAAAAATGAGTGGGAATTAAACGAAACTTGCTTGCAAGATTGGTGGACTTGGATAGGGTGTCGGCCAGCCTTTTCTGATTGATGCCGAGTTGACTTCAAAGAGAGCTCCATATGAGATTGCGAGTCTGACGTTCCTCTCAATCTTAGTCCATACCGCCGGTTCGGCTTGGAGGTCGAGATCTGGGTTGAAGAGTAGACAAAGGTCGAAATGACCAATGACCTCGGGCCGGTATCGCTCGATCAATGTGTGCTGGGCATCGAAATAGGCCTCACAGAGTCGATGAAGTGGCTCGAGTGAGTGATTGGTTGATTCGAAGGACAAAACGGCTCTGTCGAACATGGGCCGATCGAAGTCGATTGGGATTTGGTTGACATGGTGGACGCTCCCGACTAGATAATCCAAGGTATCCCAATGGCGGGTAAGGGTCTGGTCGAGTAACTGGAAGGTATTCGACTGTTCGATCAGCTCGGTCTCGATTCCAACCAACAGCCCGATCTGAGGAGAATAGAGTTGCTTGAGTCGACCAGCTTCGGCTATGAAGCAGTCAAACTGCTCGCCGAGTTCGGATGGCTGGATGCCACTCTAGATAGGATCGATATGATTCAATTCCCAGATTGAAGCCCATCCATCAGCTCGGCCACATACATACAACACTACTCTTGAGACGGACGAACCTCCTCTGGATAGAGATCTTGGACCCGATCTCGTGGCATGTGCTCGGAAAGACCATAACTGATGAAGCCCCGGTCTATAGCAGTCCGGATCACCGAATCGAGGGTTCCGGTGGCATGCTTGCAGAACTGACCAGAGTGAGAGTGAAGGCTGATTGGCATGCTGGGTAGATGTATGTAGGTGTTGGTTGGAGATGGTTGGGTGCTTGGCTGCTGCGGAGGGGTACATACAAAGCCGGGTCAGTCTGACTGGAAACATGGCTTAACTTTTGGTTCCACTTGACTTAACTTAGCTCAAAATCCCCTACACTACGGGGGTGCTTTTAAGGTTTTGCTTCGAAACGATGTCCGAAATGTATGGACTTGGTGATTTCGAAGCGGCTTTCGTAAAAAGTTCGAAACTTTTACGAAAGTTGCGAAAAAGATTTCGAAACTATTTCGAAGTCTTCCGCTTATGATTTTGATCCGGTGAAATTCTGGGTTTTATGCGGATATTGCCGGATCAGAACTCTAAAAAAACACTTCGGAAATTATTCCGGAAGTTTTTTGGTGGGAGGTGTGATTCTTTCGTAAAACTTTCGAACCATGCTTCGGTTCCTCCAACCGGTTCGAAAGAGTGTCGAAAGTGCTTCGAAGCTTTTTTGGGTTGGAGGAACCAGACCGTGTGATTTTTTTTTTTGAAAAGGTATTTAAAGCACTCGATTGTTGAGCAAGGTGTGTCGGTCGCCTCTTGCTTCTTCATCCTGAATTATCCCCTCCTCTCCCCCTCTGACGACTTCCTCTCTCCTCAATGCGATTTTGGTTAAGTACACTCAACCCCACTTAAAGTCATCTCCTCTCTATTTTCCGTAACTATCCTCCAACCGTAAGTGACCCAGCTGAGTAGCAAACACACCAGCAAGCGATCTAAACGAAACTTGCTTGATCGTTTATACACTTCTTGTCTTTTTTCCTCGGCTCTTGTTTCCTCATCATGTTGCTTACTTTTGTGTGTTTTATGCTTGTCGTCTGCTATCTTTTGTCTTATCTAGTCATCTTCTATCTGCTGTTGTTTTGTTCTCTCTCTCTACACTTGCTCTTGTCTTGTTTCATTGTTGTTACTCAAGTATTCTTCAGTCGGAAATACAAGTTCATATATGTATGCTACAGTGAAACAGTGTTGGATCAGCAAGCGAGTGAGAGGAACAGGTCTTTTTGACCAAGTGCAATTCACAAATCGCCACTCCAGGCATCATAAATGTTCAAAAAAATTTCAAAACACCCCTGATCATGACAAAAATCTTTCGGAACTCTTTTGGAATCATTTCGAAATCTAGCTTCGGAGTCGACTTCGAAATCATGGCATCCCGCAACTTTTTCGAAAGTATTTCGAACAACTATCGAGAGGTCTTCGAAAGATTTTCGGAATCCCCTTCGGAGCACATTGCGAAATGTACCTGGACCAAGGTCCAGGACGTCGCCCCCTGCGGGCGCGTCTTTCGAAACATTTCCGAACGAGCTTCGGAAATGTTTCGAAACGCAGCACCCGTAGTGTAGTTTCAGAGGGCGCCGCGAATGGCGACTGGCCATGTTTGTACATTTGTACACCCGGCTCACTCTTAAACGAGGGGCTGGTCAACAGCTAGCTCAAATCTTGGGGCGCACTCATAACTGGCAAAGAGAAGAAATGGGCAAGCAATATCTGCATTGGTCAAACATTAGGGGGTTATAGGGGCTTGAGCAAGTCACTCATATAAGCGGATCTGGCGGCAGACCATACCACGGGGAGGTGTACATACAAGAACAGAAGAACAAGACATCAAATTAAAAGATAAAAAACAATCAAAATGTGTAAATGCATGGATAGAAACTTTGGTTTAAAGCTAATCAATGACGCGCGTGCTGAATCGTCTGAGTTGTGTTCCTCTCTCTATGACAAGGTCTGCATGAATGGCATTTATCCTGAACAGCCATGGGATGTGAGGAGTGGACGTTGCAGAGCGAGGATCATCAGCACTCAGCAGTCAGCAATAAGAGAAATTCAACTTCAAGCTTGCAAATTACTCACTTTGCGAAGGGTCAACGAAGCTCACTCTGCGGTTGGGATCAGCCTGGGATTGAGATCCTTGCCGTTTGCGCGACCTCGCTTCGACTTGCTCTGCCCCCTTGTTTTTGAGGTTCGGCGAAGGAGGTCTGGAGGATTCCTTGATGGGAAACGGCTTTCGTTTGTCTGTGTCTTCGTCATTAGGCTTGGCCGCTAGGGTGAGTTGATTGAACGGGGCGTCTGTTTCAGCTTTGATGAGCGTGGAACGTCTGTGAGCAGATATCTTATGGCTCCTGCCACCAATTGATCGGCCAGCTGGTGATGTGGTTCTCGATGGAGATCGGGCGGAACCCAGTTTCTGTTCCATCGATGTACGCGAACCATCGCGCAGAGTTCTATTCTTGTCCATGGGATCTGCCAGCTTCAGAGAATTACAAGACATCCGGCGCTTCGGGCGACTAGTAAATTTCCTGGGGCGCAGTCTGATGCGGCTCGATTTAGGACGAGTAGTCCGCTTCAGCGCCGGTTGGTCATCTTCAACCCATTCGTCAGATTCGCCCTCGCTGTCCACTGCTCGTGAGGAAGACGTGGTGGGATCCATTTCCTTGCTAACTTGTGGGCCACCCAACCCCTTTTGCCCACTGACCTTTCCTGGAACCGGCTGTGAGGAGTAAGAATTCAATGGGATATTTAGTATGGCGTGTTTGAGAAGTAGGGGAGGCGGGCTTAGAGTATGATGATACCTACTGGGCAATCTTTGCTGGTGGCGTGCGTTGTCGATTTTTCATTCTTGTCTAAGGCGTTATCAAGTGTCAGAATTTTTTTGCTCGCGTTTGGTGACGCTATGTACATCGTGATTACTCACTCAGTTCTGCAGGAGGTAAAAGCTGAACCAGGGAAGCCGATTGAGCGCAAAAGTCAGATAAGTGGCTTCTGGCTCCAATCCCTTCCAGGTCACGAGATATTGAAGATTCGGATGGGCCGGGTAGGGGAGCCGGGCCGAGAGCCTTGTCGACTGATGCCGGTTGCAAACGCCACACCTCGAGTTCTTTTCCATCGCTGCGCTCGACAATTAACTTTTCGGAGGTTCACCAAGTCAACATAGATTCTCTCTTCAAAGTATGAAACAGGTCCAACCTACATGTGTTCCACACTTGTACATCGTGGTTCCATTGGCGGCTTGGACTGGCTGAGGTTCGACCCAGCCATCAGGCATCTTCTCTTGATTCTTGAGGAGCGATTGCGTCTCGGGATTGTTTAAGTTATGATGGGTTCCTTTAGTCTCCTCCGCATCCGAGTCACAGTCCACATCAACGTGTGTGATCTGACTTATAGCAATTGACCTGTTATAAGCCGCCCGTGAATTGATGGTCGGAGTAGGAGAAGGCGGTGGTGAGGCTACCAGTGATTGTTGTTCAGTTTGCAAGGTGCCAACACCGTGATCGATGTTCGTCGGATCGTATCGGGTGAAGTTATTGAACCGACCGGATCGAATGCTAGACGTGAAGGTCCCACTTCTTCTCAAGGAATTCACGCGTGAACCGAAGTTTTTGCCGAGGTTAAAAAAGGGGACAGAAAGCCCATGGATAAATACGGAAAAGCAGAGAAGAAGATACATGATTGGCTGAATCGTCAACGCAAGCACGTCAAGACTTGACCGAGCAGGGATTTGAGGCGTAGGGAGCTTCTCCGTGGCAAGAATACTGATGAATAGTCCGCTGACCCCTAGAATTGAAAACAATCAAGGTAAGATGAGCAAGTGTTGGAGGGAAAAAGTAACCGTGTGGAACACGCACCGATTGGTCCAAAATGCCCACAAAACACTGCTTCTTTGTTTGTCTTCAAATCCGGGATCAGCTTGCGCAAGAGGATCATTACCGGTAGCCTGCGGAGAAGAAGGATAGACAACGCTAGCAAAACCATTTTCCAGCCTGTCAAAGTTAGAGCAGCCTCGTTCCACAATTCGAAGGGAATTGTCGCGCCCACGTAGATGAAGGCGGAAGCTGCATCAAAAGAACGCCGGATGACAAGCAGATGAGTATAGGAACGAGGCATTTTTCGAAGAGATTGGAATGTTCGACTGACTGTTCACCAAGTGAGAAAGAATTTGTGAAAAATTGGAAGCCTCAATTTCTTCAGAAAACCAATGATCCCAGGCAAAAGCGGTTCCGCACGCGAAAGCTGCCATGATGTCGTCAGCTCCAGCCAAGATCGCGACGCCTGCTGTCATCAGCGCCAGGGCTATATACATGGCAACCATGGATTCCTTGTCAATCAACTCTTTGCGCTTGGAAAATTTCAGAGTTTCGCGCGCAATTATTCCTGCAACAGCTCCCATGATAATTCCGACTAGTATGTGGTACAAGACACCAAGCAAGAGCTGAAAGAAAACGATGAGGATTAGTGATGTCAATGATTAATTGTGGAAAGATGGCTTCACATGATTGAAAGGTATGGTACTAAACGAACCCAGTCACCAATGGCATGTCCGACCGAATAGTTGTTCCGAAGAAGAAGAAATAAGGTGAAGTATAAGAGTATAATGGCAACACCGTCATTCGCGCCAGCCTCGGCCTGGAGCAAGTGTCGTAGGTGTGGAGGGACGTGTTTTTGAGCGTATCTACCATTGCCAACAACAGATGAAGCAAGGAGGATATCGGTCGGGCAGACGCAAGCGGCGATGACGAGGGCCTCGAGATAGGATAGTGCAGGGACCAAGAGGATGATAAATGCGCCACTGATAAACCAACCGGCCAGCACAACCGGACCAAGAAGGCAAATCATAGTCTGCCAATGGCGAAGAATATAAGCAGCTGGTAATTCAACTCCAGCTGAGAACACATCCAATGCGACAATTATCCGGGTAATTTCGAGCGTGATCTCATTAAAACTTGCGCCTCCTCCCCATGAGCGTGGATCGATAAGGCCAGCGACGTGTGGCCCCATCAAAACTCCAAAGGAAACAGCAAGCATAGCATCACTAAGATATAGTCTCTCCCTGAGAAAGGAGGAAAATGATCCGTAGCAAATTATGAAGGCTGGGATGAGTGTAATTGCCAGGTACACGCTGTTGACCTTTGTAACAAAAGAGGACAAGAAAAAAAAATGGAGTTGTTGAACAATTTGAAAACCAAGTTAGCCAGATTGTCAATATGGAGGGCCATAAGGAGTCACATGCCAAAAATAGAACTGACATTCGTATAAATTCGATACATCTTCTTACTAGCAGACGCCAAGTCGGAACCGGTTCCAGTCTTCAAACTATTGGTTAAGGATACCTTCTGAGCGCTCACATTTCGTCGGTCAAGCGATTGAGAAACGACGGGATTGGCCAAGTGTTTTTCGGAGAGAAACTGATGATGGTGAGGTGGAGTGAGTGTATTGCGTTTGCCAAGTTCGAAAAAAGATTTGTCATCGAATCTTGACCAACTAGAAACAAGTGTCTTCTCTTCCAAAGAACTTGTTGGGGACGACTGAATGAGTAGAGCATTCAAGCATAAAGAGTAGAACAAACATCCAACGCGAAACTCTGGATAAAGGGCACTGAAGCGCATGTCGAAATCGGGGGAATTCTCTTTTGCTGAAAGCAATGGTACTTTCCTCTAAGATGTTGATCTTTTTGAGAGTTAAGCTATCCAATAAATAAGTTATGATAGACGGGCTGGGCGGCTCTACTCCTTCAAGCTCGGAATATTGCTACGTCGAATGACTGACGGTAGCCCCAAGTGCAACTATGGATGTAGGATGTCACTAATGTGCAGCGGTCGTCAATGAACGGCCGTTTGGAATTCAATGCGACCAAATTGCCGATTTGTTTTGAAATGTGCTTGATCGCCAAGGCCGAATTTGAGAGCAGGAAAAATGACTTTTCTGTGGGCGCAGTCTCCGATTTTGCTAACTAAGATGCCACTAGCCTTCACTAACAAATCTTGTTGCGCAGATGAGCAGGGAGTTGTTCGAATATGAATCTGGAAGGCGCTTGAGATGGATTCCGCGCTATGGGGGCCTGAAAGTTGGTAGGTTACTCTGCCCAACAAGTGCACGCATTCTCCAGCCCCGTATATATGTGTTTCCAGTTCGGATAACCTGATGAAGAGAGTTCAACGCGGAGTGCAGCTCCAAAAGGCTACATAATGAGACATTGTCAGATAAACCTCAGCAAACTGAACAAACTCCGGCATACGCGCGTGGGACAAACGGTGTATGTAAAATGGATGCGGTGCTGCCAAACAGCTCTCCGCGGGCTTCGACGGCTCCCTGACCTCTCCTGACATCGAGTGGCAGTTGGTCTTTATATTTGTTCAAAATTTCATCTCGATGCGGGTTGATCAACTCCGAGCCTGACGCATATCACTTCCACGTTCGATTGGTGCAAATCAGTGCCAATCTCTAATCCTAATAAGATGGACAAGTGGCAGTTGCTAATTGAGGTTGGCTTTTGAATTGTGTGTTGTTGACCGATGGATGAGAGGATCAGAGACATGAGCTTCAGTGGGGTGCAAACCTTCCGAGCTTAACATAAGCCTCTCAATCGGGTCCCGAAGGGACCCCGCATCCCGATACGCGACCTCCTCGGAGGGACCTTGTGTTAAGTTCGCAAACCTTCGCAAGATGTGATCTAATTGGCCGTGCCATGAAGAAGGGCTGTCCGTGTTAACTTGACTTTAGCTGCCTCTTGACCTGTGCTGCGCTGCGTGCGAGGCAGACCTTTGCAACTTGCACCAATGGCAACTTGACTTGTTTTTAATCCTTACATAAGCTGCAGTCTCCAACTTACAATTTGGTGGTTTCAGCACCCAGATTACAATCTGGCCAAGCTTTCCGAGAAGATTATGAAGACGTATGTATCGCTTCCGATTTCTTTCCTTTTGCTCGGAGTCGTGGTGGAAAGAGCTCATTGCATCCCCGGCAGGTGCACTGTGAGCACAGCCGGTCATTGTCACTATTCTTGAAAGGGTACTACTATGTTATGTATCCATATGACCACTTTCATCCCTGTTTATAAGCAACGTGAGGATTCTCATCAACCCTATAGACATCTGTTGATGTCTAAGTATCTAAATTATGATCATGACACCCCCTTTATTACATTGAATCAAAATGGCTTTCCTACCCCTCTGGATAATTTCTCCAATCACAGTTTGTTCGCTTGGATTTGAACCCCAATCTTATGTGTCCCAGGTATATGGTATTGTTGTATTGAGAATTTAGTGTGGGAAGTAAATTCAATGCTCACCCCCCCAAAGATTTCTGATTAAATTTGGATTCAAGTATTATCTCACTTGGCAATCACATGTGATCTGGTTTTCATGTTGGTTTTATCAATTAGTAGGACTTCAGTGAGTTGGAAGAAAGAAGGGCACTCCTACTCTAGTAATATAGAAATGATGAATTGGTAGAATTATACACTAGCTACAGTACCGTACTGTGAGGTCATCACCAAAGATTGTTTTGGATTTCAAATTTTTCAGATTGACAAACAACCACTAGTACTGACTCAGTCAACTATCAGACCACTCTGAACTCAGCAAAAAGGAATTCCCAAAATAACGGATTGTGATTTTCAGTCAAAAAAAAAATTATCAGAATGTTTTCTATTCCTGAAATTGTACCAACAGATAAGAAAGAAAACCCAGATTTATATTTTGACATGTAAAGAGATACACAAAGAACACATATAAAAAACACAGATAAGAAACACAGATAAGAAAACACAGATAAAACGAGGTTGCTTTTTGAAAGAAGATACAGACAAAAAAAGGTACAGATGATTATTTGAAAGCCGGGATACATGATGAGTGAATAGTATTATGGGTTGATGTGCAATGGAATGCGATTGTAACGTTTGAGCTGCAGTGATCAGAAAAAGAAATGCTTGGGCTGAAGTGATAAGATTGAAATGTTTGAGCTGAAGTGATTGGAACTTGCGGAGAGATGGACGCGGTTTTGCGCTATTTTTGTCTAAATTTGAACCGTAGTTGGAAAGATCGTCAAGTCGTAATAGAAGTGATCTGATTGTGGAGGTAGACTACTCAATGATCGTCCTCAGTACTCATGTAATGGGCGATAGAGGCTTATTGAAGCCCACTCGACCAGGTGTTGTCGGGGTTATCTAAGAGGTAATGCTTGTTATCTGATTCAGTACCAGGACCGTCTTCGTGAAGATATGCCGTTGACAAATTGTTACCATCGCAGTTCTCAGATTCACCGTAGGGAGTAGCACATGATTGCATAGTCAGTGATGAGACCGGGTTAGGGTAGCTAGAGCCGGTACCGTACTCCTCGCCGGAGCCCAAAACTCGAGGATCGTAGGGTTGGGAAAGGACCAATGGTTCTAGAAACCTTGCGTCATTCGTAGAAATATTTGAGCTGCCGATGTTTTGTGCTGAGCCAAGAGGAGAGGTCCTGATGCCCGGCGAGCTTTGTGATACTGGGGGCCAAGTGGGCGTCGCAATGACAGAGCTGTCAGAGGAATGTCTATGGAAAGGATTGCTGTCCGGGGGTAAATGTGAATAGCCATTACCGCTCCCTTGAGTGGGAGTAGAGAGGGGAAAGGAGGATAGGCCGCGAGTGGACATCGGTGTAGTTCCCAGAGGAGATGATGTCTGGAAAAGACTGCGTGGATTGGCCACTATCCAATCCGCCGGGATCTCACGGCTAGAGGAGCCCATGGCAGAATTGGGAGCAGTGACGGCAGGGCTTGTTGGATATTCTCCTTTAGAAACATTTGGGCCGGGTGACCATTGCTGTTGTTTGGACGAATGGTGAGAGATCCCTAAGTGCTGGACAGGAGAGTCAGAAGCTTCCCGTTTAGCTTGTTCCGTAACACCGACTGACTGTGGTGTCTGCTTGCCGGTTACATTGGTTGAAGGCGATGACTGGGGGGACAAGGAGAGCGGGTGTGGCATACCGTAGGGCGGTTGGGTGCGTCGAGCGATGCCTCCATTAGGGACGTAAGAATAAGATGAGTTGTAGGATATAGCATTGGCATTGGGGGTCGGAGTGGCTCTAGCGGCCGTGCGAAGTGTACCAACATGTGGCATTTGACTGCTGGTTCCGTTCATCCCGTAAGATGCTGCCATTCCGGACGAAGCACCAGGCATGAGAGCTCCATAACGCTAGGGTTGGTATTTAAAGGACATGGAAGTGAGATAGTACGGGGCGCATTTTTGACGTGAGCATCCTTGGAGCAAGCAAGAACTCGTTTGTGGGAAATAGAATAGACCTACCAGGCAGTTTTGGATGTAGGCCTCGCCAGCTGGATCCTTGATTAAAGGCGTCAACCTAGCTTTAGGAGGAATCCTTAGGTTAGCGACTGATAAGAACGTGAGAGATGTGGATAGCCATCAACTTACGAGTCGCAAAGGTGTAGGCTGTTAGCTCAGAATCTTTCGGTGCGACTATCAGCATGACCTCGCATCCTGTCAGAGTGGAGATTTCCTGTGCCTAAATGAGAATTTCAGGCAAATCATTGTTGTCAATTTGTAAGTAGCCAGGTGACAAGAGATGCGTTTCGGTCCAGAAATGTGCTGGATGTAGGGTCTGATTCTCACCTTCTTGAATATTCCATTTTTTCTTTTTCCAAAGGTGATGTTTCTCCTACTCTTGTCTTGTATGTACTCAATTTTAATTTGTCGCCGAGGAACGTTATACTTGCTCTTTCCCTTGCGGCGTTTAGACCCGGAGCCTGTTCCTTCGTCATCCTCTGAGGCACTCGAGAGCTCCGGGAGCCCGTCGGGCGGGTGAGAGACTAGGGTTCCTCCCAGGTCAGGAGACCCGGTGGAGCCTGTTGGCTCTCTCTCTGCAGAAGTTAGACCAGCGGTGGTTGGAAGTGGCCTAGTGGGCCGGGAGTCACCAGGCTCGGTTGAGCATGAAACGGGATCCATTGAACGAAAGCAGGAAAATGGCAGCTAAAACGATTTAAAAGCTGGACGAAAGGGGAGGTGGAAAGATTGGGTGTTTAGTCGCAGCGGACCCTCCAACCGGACTTGCTTCTTCTTTGAGAACCCGAATCCGTACAGAGATACGAAATGATAACTACTGAATGCCGAGGCGGTTTAGGTAAATGACAAAAGTGGAAGTGGAGTGCAGAGCAGATTCGTTTGGGAGGTGTAAATTCTGCGTGCGGCAGATGGAAGTTAGATGCGATGTGAGTTTTAGGCCATAAAGATGGACATGGATTGATTATTAAAGATCTGTATTTGTTTGCTTTTTGGCGGAATCTATACACGAAAAGAGTTGTTAGTGATGGGGTGTACGAAAGGGGGAAACGGCCCTGTCAGTCGAGTTCAAAAAGGATTCAAGTGGACTACTTTTGGCCATCTCATAGCAGCAAAACATACCCTGCCAGTCATCAGACCCTGATCCGCGGAGGGACGCGACTGTGAGGGCTGCAAAGCTCGGAGCTGGTGTATGCGAAAAAAAAAGTATCGATCTTTGACCAAGCAGGAAGCCACCTTCAGACTCAGCTGGCTCGACAGGGTCTAAATTAGAGTGATTCCCTGTAGCTGAATGGGAAAGGGTCTGTAATTCTTCATATCATTAGTGTGCTCAAGCTCCTCCATGATTCCTAGCAATTACCACAATGTATGTATATGGTACGTACGTGCAAGCGCCCCGTCAGCTAATTGAAGAAAGACGAGGAGTTACCTGAAGGCAGATTGCGGAGGCTAAGGGAAAGAAAAAAAAACCTGCGTGGTCACCGCAGGAAGGGTATGAACCACGCGCTGCTTGACGCCGGTACAATAATTGCAATGCATCTTTGAATCCATACATGGGTCTATGATGGTAGTACACCCAGCGTGTCATTATAGATCAGCCAGTGCGCCTTGCGGGGTTTCAATTATCAGAACCCTTGTTTGGGTTCTGTGGCTCGATGGGTAAGAAGGAGCGGGTGTAGCATCCAACGCCTAATCGGGAAGCGGATAGGATAGGATAGCGCCACATTGTCTCAGGATAGCAGTGTAGCAGTGTGTGAGACAGCGAAACCCACCCAGACTCGAAATCACAACAGAACCCAGGCAGTCTACTGCCTTTCGGATGTGAAAGCACACCAGAGCTGTAGCCACGCAAGGATCGATCAAGCTCAAGAAGCACTCGTCATCGGGATTCGGGAGCGGTGCACTTGGCTTCTCCCAGCCTCACTTCGGCTCGTAGTGGCTTGTAGCTTGGTCGCTTGCCCTCAGTCTTGGCATCGTTGATCACCTTTGGTGGATAGCTATCTTCAGGATTTGGTCTACCAGACTTATCACGCTACGGCCAAGGTGTTTCGGCAATTCTTGCAAGATGGAAAACCTCCACATCCACAGTCTCTGTTTATCCTATTCGCTACTCATCCAGGGCCAAGAAGCTCACAGAGGAAAAGTGTGTGAAAAAACAAAGCGGGCGATCATAGAGAACTGCATCGACATTGTAGAAATGTTTACCATGGTACACCCAGCAAGCGTGAGCCCTGGCGCTTTTTGTGAAGCCGGCAAGTTGGACGCAACCATACAGATAAGCAAAACGGAGAGGATGACACGTCTGACTTGAAGGTGCGTTTCTTCGCAATTTGGAAGGGATGTTCGTAGGACCCCGATGAGCTCCCATTCCCGGGGGTCCAGACGCGTAACCCCGGCCAGGGATTTGCGTCGAGTCTGCTGCGGGACAGCATCCGATTCCCATGTCCCCGTGTGGATGACCAGGTGTCAAATAAGCAAGAAAAAACTGTTCCTCAAGAAACAGAAACAGCCAATTCCAAATGGTCCAGACCCTAGATTGAGGCCCTGATTTTGCAAGTTGTGTGGCTTAAACCTCAAAGTAAACAGTGTCGATCCCCAAATGAAATCAGCAATATCAAGACCATCTCCTTGTGCTTTGAAGCTTGAGTCCTATTCTTTAGGGGGTCGGAAAAACGACTCCCAAAAATTAGCCGACGACTCCCATTTTGGTCGAGGGGTTGTTGGGCAGGAGTCGTTCCTCCAAATTGATGGCCGACTTTGGGAGTCGGCCATCAAATTCGTCGGCTAATTTTTGGGAGCCGTTTTTCCAACCCCCATTCTTTATTTTAGATGTCACAGGGAAAATGCAATCTTGGTGTTTTGTGCCATAACCTACCCAGAGAATTTAGCAATATTTGATTCATCCAGATGCTGCAGGTCATGTGTATGCTGTAATTTTGCTGGCCCCAATCACTTTCAACTTTCATGGGATTCACAACCTCCTCTTATTCTTTGAATCAACAAAATTCCTCCTTGAAGTGCCACAGAAACTTTGACTATTGCAGTCCCTTTCTAGGTCCCTAGGATTGGAACTGGTCTTAAGATTATTAATTGGTCAGAATCATCCTATTTATACCATCTAGTCATACATATTGTTGTGAAATTTCATCTTGAGTACTTTTTGGGGAGCCCTTCATCTGAAAAATTTCAAGTTTCAAAGCTTTAAGCCTTAAGAATGATGGTAAATGAGGTTATCCAAACTGGTTTTTTATTAATTCCTGGGCATATTACAAATGCATCTTGAAAGACATGAATGAGTATTTGTTGTATTTGAGCTGTAAAACAATGAACTAAACACACTCAAATTTTTCAGTTTGTGGTGTGGGCCAGTTACACTAACCATAGTGTTAGCTTTTTAAGCTACACTACGAAAAAGTTACTGTTAGCAGAAATTTTGGCCCACTAACACTACAGATTTTTTGAAAAAAAAACTTTAGTGTAGTGTTAGCTAACTTGGAAAAAGTCCAACTAACACTAACCAAAACCCTTTTTAGCACAATTGTAGTGGTGTTAGTGGTTGAAACCACTACACTACAGACCAGTGTAATTTTTTGATGAGTTACACTGAAACAGTTAGTGTAGTGGTTCCTTCAGTCACACTAACAGTTAGTGTAACTGACTATGTAGTTACATGACCACATGACTAGCGCTAGTCTACCCTGAAGACAGTGCCTGATTGGGGGGCCTACATCCAGATCCCCTCAATTGATCATCATTTCTTTTCAGTTGGTAATGGGGGCCACTCAATTTTAGCCCCCTGCCAATTTTTAACACTTCCTTACAAGACCACATTCCCCTGTCAGACTACCTTAAAATCATGGGTTCAATTCCCCCTCAGATCATACATTACTGGGTTCCATTCCCACACTTGCTTGTGTTCAATTTCCACTTTCACATCATGTAGCAAGGGGGGGGGGGGTGTTGAGGTGTATGATAGTCTGCTACCATGATGTATTACCAGAGTGTTGTGGAGCTGTTGGCATGTACCATGGGAACTACCACCCAACTAACCAGCTGGCAACCACAAGTGTCTGTAGCCTAATTGGTAAAGGAAGCACTCTGGTATGTGACTCAGAATTGCTGAGGTTGTGAGTTTGAATCTCACCAGGCACATCCTCCATTTGTTTTTATCTACATCTTTTCCTGTTCATTTTTTGCAGGATTGTGAAAATTGTCACTATGGAACTTGGCCCTATTAGGAGGATGTGCCTGGTGAGATTCAAACTCACAACCTCAGCAATTCTGAGTCACATACCAGAGTGCTTCCTTTACCAATATCAGTCATATGAACAGTTCACACAAGTTGTCCATTGAAAACAGCAAGCAGAGGAAGGGGGTTCAAGAGCATGCCAGGCTGCAAGAACATAAATTCCCACTTGACACATCAATTTCTCTAATTGATGAGTTACACTATGCTACATGTGTAGTGTAGCATAACTGGGCATTTATTGTAGTGTAGTGTAGCTTAATTTGGTATAGAGATGTCAGCAGGTACCTGGTACCCGCAAACGGGTACCCGGAAACAGGTGCAGGTGCGGGTGCGGGTGTCAACATTTGCGTTAAAAGCAGGTGCGGTGTGGAACTCCTATCGTGCCAGGCGGTAGGCAGTTGGTTGAAGGGATGGTGCTTTGAGGGCTGCCTTCAAGAGGGGTCTGGATAAATTGAGCTGAGATCTGAACAAAAAATGTTGGGGTTGGTTGGTTTTCTGGGAGGAGACAGCAGAAATGGAGTTCTGTGGCGGTTGTTGAGCTTGAGGATTGGTGTGTATGAGTATCAGATGAATTAATAATAAAAAGATCAATAAGAATTGATGGGTCTATCTTGGATCAGATCAGAGTGCCATGCTTCCCCATCATCTCAGTTCAAACTGAACTTTGACTCTGGCGAGTGACATGTCACAGACATGTCAGCACATCCCTAACTACAACACAACTCAACCAAAAAAGAAAAACAAGACCACACTACACAACACAACACAAAACTACACAACACTACACAACACAACACACACAACACACACAACAAAACAAAACAAAACAAAACAAAACAAAACAAAACAAAACAAAATAATCAAGAGTGAAATAAACCAACATACTAAGATGTCTTAGGACCAAGAAAATTAAACAAGACTGTCTGCTGAGTAGGTGATTTGAAAAAGATAATAAAAAAATGATAAAATGATAAAATAAAAATAAAATCAAGATGAATGAAAAATAATATGAAGATAAATAATAAGAGGAAATGGAATAAAATAATAAAATGAGGAAACCATTGGACTGAGTGGGGATTTGAGGTGATAATATTGAAATCTTGGGTCTTGAGGATATTGATAATTTGAAAATTGAAAATTGAAATTTGACCTTGAGGGGGCCTGTACCGTTTAGAACACCACAGCGGGTGCGGGTGCGGGTGTCAATATTCGCGGTAAAAAAGGCAGGTACCTGGGTTGAAGAAACTATGAGATTTTGATGAGAGCAGGGAGAGACCGGGAGATGAAAAAGCCTCAAGAAAAAACTTCTGAGGAAAAAACAAAAAGGTCTGAGAGCCCAAAAAAGGGCTAAGTGCTGCTAGCTTGCGTGGAGGAAAAGCTCACACGCTACAAGGAGTTGTATCCTGTAGAGACTCCAGGGATCAGTGCGCAGAAGAACAGATGCTTTCAATTTCTAACTCAGGAGCATGATTATTTATCTACATACACAAGTGGGCTGAGATGTGGGACAGAAGGTGACAGAAGCATATTCATCTGGAGCAGGAAAGAAATGAGTGACAGATGTGGAAAGGAGTGACAAGGATGTGAAAGGGAGAGAAAGGAAAGACACCACGACTGCGGAATTCCAACACCCCCCCCAACTGATGGACCACAGAGCTTACAATCGATATTCTGCGTTAATGTTTAGCTTCTTGAATTCTGGGTTCGCCAGCATTGCCTGGAAGTTTCGCTCGGATTCGATTTGTTCAGCAGTGAATCCATGTACCGCGTGTGACGTCGGAGAGGAGATTGCTAGGTGGGCTTGAGCAACTGGTTTGGATTTAGATGGTGCCGAGGGGTTCGATGTTTTTGACGGGCGCTGATCGGGGTGCTTTTCAAAGCAGATCGCTTCGCGATGTCCGGCTTTGTCGCAATGGGAGCAGATGGTGAAACCCTTCTTACAATGGGGACACATGTAGAACTTGTCGTCGGTGGTGAGAAGCGCCTGTTGAGATGGCATCGAGGATGATCGGTCGAGGTGATTTTGAGCCGCGTGTCGTTCGAGTCGATTCAGCATCATGGTGACGGTATCGCTTGAGCAGCCAATGCTGAGGACAGTCCTGAGTGATTGAAAATCCGATGGGAGCTTTCGGAGAATGATCGCATTCTTGACTTGATCATCGAGACCGATCTTGGAGGAGATGAGTTTTTGATTGGCTGCACGAACTTCGAAGATGAAGTCGGTGATCGATCCATGGTAGTCAAGATCGAGAAACTTCTCGAGCGCCAAGTCCTTTGCAACATAATCGTCACCGGCATACTTTTTCTTCAATATCTGCCAGACCGAGAAGCCGCAGAATGAGGTTTCGTCGACGAGAATCTGAGAAATGTAAGCCAGGTGATTATTGTCCAGATGCTCAATGATTTCAATGTAGGCAATTCGATTTATCTCCTCATACGCCAAGGCCTCTTTCGTTGGTTTTTCGGGGTCTTCCAACTTTGGTTTCTTGATGGTTCCCAGAACGACATCGAGGGCGTCGATTTTGCTTAACTTTGCTACCATGAGAAACGACCAGGTTGAGTAGTTTGAGTCGTTGAGGAGAAGGGGAGGGTTTCGAGAGTTAGACATGGTGATTTGATGTGAGATAGGTGATGAGATCGGAGAAGGCAGTTGATGATGAGTTGAGGAAGCGTCGAATTTCGACTGTTAATCGTGAAGAAACTATGAGATTTTGATGAGAGCAGGGAGAGACCGGGAGATGAAAAAGCCTCAAGAAAAAACTTCTGAGGAAAAAACAAAAAGGTCTGAGAGCCCAAAAAAGGGCTAAGTGCTGCTAGCTTGCGTGGAGGAAAAGCTCACACGCTACAAGGAGTTGTATCCTGTAGAGACTCCAGGGATCAGTGCGCAGAAGAACAGATGCTTTCAATTTCTAACTCAGGAGCATGATTATTTATCTACATACACAAGTGGGCTGAGATGTGGGACAGAAGGTGACAGAAGCATATTCATCTGGAGCAGGAAAGAAATGAGTGACAGATGTGGAAAGGAGTGACAAGGATGTGAAAGGGAGAGAAAGGAAAGACACCACGACTGCGGAATTCCAACATGGGTACCCGCCCTGGGAATGCTTCCTCTGAAGAATTTAATTTATCATTGGTGGTCCAAGGACCAACACTCCCTTTTTTGGGTGTGTTGGGCTGCACAAAGGTGTCAGCAACCCATGCAGGACACCAGATGGTGTCCTACATGTGTTGCTGAACTAATCTGGTTGCTTTGTTGAGGCCGGAGGGAACCCTCCGGCCTTTGAGATGGTGTACAGTCTTGATGACTGGAGGAATTCCTCCAGTCATAAAGACGGTGTACAGTCTTCATCAATGGAAATTGAATAAGGCAAATGAGGCCAAGCAAAAGGGAAAAGCTAAAGATAGATCAGAAAGAAGATAATTCAAATTGGTGATAGAATAATTTGGTTTTCTTTACTTCTTTATTTTTATTTTATTCTTACTCATATATCTAGTGAATATAAGTCTTATATTTACCAAGTCATGCAGAAATTCAAGGGTGAGATTTCTGGGTATATTTGCCTGCAAAAATGTGCCAGGTACCTGCAGGTACCCGGCGCAGGTACCCGGGTACCCACCCTGGCGGCCCTAGCAGGTGCGGGTGTCAAAAATATTGGATTTTTGAGGCAGGTACCCGCACCCACTACAGCTACCCAGGTATCAAGCGACATCTCTAATTTGGTATCAGTTATGCTAAATGTTAGCTTCAAATCAGTTACACTATCTGACAGTCAAAATTTTGTTAGTGCAAAAAAAGTTACACCACCTGTCAGTTTAGCTGAGATTATTTGAAGCTAACACTAAAAAAATATTTGAAAGAAAAATTTACACTACGCTAACAGTTCGCTCAGCGGGGTTTAGTGTGAGCTAACACTACAGAATTTCCAGGAAACAAAGGCCACTACACTAACAGTTAGTGGTCAAATAGCGTAGTGGACCACTGTTGCTGAAGATGTGGGTTGGATAATAAAAAAGAGGTATGTTATCAAAAATGGCAGCTGTAATGTACCATAATGCACATGCCCATCACAGCAAAAAGGGTTGTATCACTATCAGTTACAACCCCCCGCGGCAAGGTCAACCAGAGGCAGCCAATATAACATCGGTCTTTTTGACCGATGTGGTGGTCCAGGCTGTTGTGCGCAACAAAACTGCCAAAACCCCTACCTTACAACCTAAACCACTTACATATATGAATATATTATTGCATAATCAGAATCTGCATACAATTTTACCCATAGTCACTCACTACAACCATACCTCTATCTCTATTAGTTTAGAAGATAATCCAATATAAAGGTTAAAGCCATACCATAGCTAGTCATTAATTAGTATTTAATAGTATTTTACCACATATATATAAGTACATACACATAAATTATTACATCAGCAGGCCTCCACCAGTAGTGCAGACCATTTATGCAATTCTTGCATGCATATGTGCAACCATTAGGCCTCCACTTAGTTACTTAATTGAATTTACGCAGACTTTGCATAAATGCATGTGGACAGAAAAACCTCCACCAGGCAGTGCAACCAGTTATGCAATCCTTACATACAGTAGTACCATATTTAGTTATTTCCACAGCATAATTAGCTCAATGCATGTACTCTTTGCAGGAGGCAGTGCAACCCACAAGGTCACCACCAGCAAAATAACCTCAACTGCATCACCACCAGCAAAAATAACTCAGAAAAGAATATATAAGGAGGCCTCTCCTTCACCAATTCCCCCATCATCACCCAGCCGGTTCATCCCCCCCCAGCCAGCTCAGTGGTCATCATCATCCAAGTCTAGTCAACACCAGTAACAACAACAACACCAACACCAACACCAACACCAACATCAACAACAACAACCAACAGTTTCACTACTTATCCAGAATCACCGTAAAACCATAAAACCCTATAAAAATATTTTCACTTGGATTGTTTTCACACTCACATTCACCGTGTAAAGGTTGTACAACCATCTTGTATTGAATTACATACTGATCTAGGTCTGATAGAGACTACTACATATAAGTTTTCTCCATCATAAAGTTACGCCACAACAATAAATTAAATTGTTGTCAGAATTCTTGTGTAGTACATAGAGGGGCAGGTCTTTCAAACCACCCGTAACAGTAAATATTATCTAGTGAAATATCATTATTGTTATTTCCCCCTCAAGGACTGCCAACCCATCCCAAAGGAGTTCTCACACCGACTTTTTATTGGTTGGGCCCACCAATACATTACAAAAAAGCATAATGTGTCAGTGGTGAAAGATTTTGGAAACTGAAGAAATATTTATTTCTGATAAGTAAAAATAATCTTCTTTGTAAATACAAATAATTTTTTTAAAAAAGAAGAAAATAAATATAATAAAGATATTCTTCTTTACCTGAAGGCAGAATAATTCTAGTCTGAATAAGATAAGGCCTTCAAGGTAAAGAGAATAAAGATAATAATAATTTTTCTTTCTAATTTTAAAGAAAATAAAAGATGAAATAAAAGTGATTCAACAATAGATTAGTATTCATGATGTTTCTTTTATATTATTTGATGATAAATAGTCAAGTCAAGACATTAGTTGATTGGGTAATAAGATTGCCTTTGATAGTGTATTGTTTCTTTAATAACTGTTAGGTAAGGAATCTGTTTTGCAATAAAATTTAATATTTTATCTTAGTTTTTCCTTGATCAATTCTCTTTCACAGTAATGAAAGGCAATTACCATTATTACTCACCAAGTATTGGTGGAAGGATACGGTCTGCCAGTTTGATAGTTTTGGTGTTTGTGGTTTGAGAGCTAGAATGGAGGGATGATGTTCTGGGACAAATAATTTGTAGTCATTGAGGATTAACATTTTCTTGACCACTGATTGTGATGATTGAGACTCACTTAGAGTTCAATGACACATTCCTCTCATTGTCTAGATTCATGATGTCACTGATGTCATGATTCAAATCACAAGCCTTACGCTTGGCATTTTCTTGCTCATCACATGAGCAGCTATTGTCTATATACATGATCATAAAAATCTGATCAGTAAAGTTAATTTTCTAGATAAGTTGATAACTAAAGTTATCAACTTACCTGCATTTCTCCTTTTGCAAGGGCTAACACACAAAGCTTGATTCCAACAAGTGGGGCCCGCCAATATAAAATCAGGTTTCCAAACCCCGGTGTGGTGGTCCAGGCTGCTGTGTACAACAAAACTGCCAAAAACCCTAACTTATAACCCAAACCACTTAAATATATTAATATATTGTTGCATAATCAGAATATACATACAATTTTACCCATAGTCACTCACTACAACTATACCTCTATCTTTATTATTCTAGAGGATAATCCAATATAAAGGTTAAAGCCATACCATAACTAGACATTAATTAGTATTTAATAGCAATTTACCATATATATATGTAAGTAAATACACATAAATTATTACATCAGCAGGCCTCCACCAGTAGTGCAGATCAGTTATGCAATTCTTACATGCATATGTACAACCATTAGGCCACCAATTAGTAACTTAATTAGATTCATGCAGACTTTGCATAAATGCATGTGGACAGAAAACCTCCACCAGACAGTGCAAGTGGTTCATGAAATACCTACATTAAGAAGTACCATAATTAGTTCTTTGCACAGCATAATTAGCTCAATGTATGTACTCTTTCCAGGAGGCAATGCAAGTTGCAACCAGCGGTGGGCAGATACGTTACGGTACGTTACAGCAGGGGATTTGGAGAACGTAACTTTTTTTTAGTTATCCAAATCTGTTGTTTTTGTAAAGTAACTAAATTTGGTTGTAAAGTAAAGTAACGTAACCAATTTTATTTTTTCCATATATTTTTTTGGGGTAACGTAACTTACTTGGGTGGAGGGTGTCATGAGAGTTTGAAGGGCAAAATCATATTGCATATAGCTTAATGGTCAAAGAGTGCCTCACATGCGCATTGAATATGTGGAGGTTGTGGGTTCAATTCTCACACCAGACATCTTTTGACCTGGCTTGCTGGTGAAATGATAATCACTGATTGGTTTATGATCATATTGTGCGAATTACCTCGCTCCTAATGAACAAAACCATCAAGAATCAGTGTATCTCCAGCAAAGTTACCCTTAAGTTATCCAAATCTTGGAAATTCTGTAACGTAACCCTGTTTTGTTCAGAATTTCTGGGAACGTAACTAGAAAAAAATGGGGCCTTTTGCTCCAGTAGATATCGTAACTGAAATAAAGATATCTGTAACTTGTGGTTAACGTAACTGTAAAGGTTACGTTACAGTCAATGTTATCCATTTGGGTAACGTATCTGCCCATCGCTGTTGCAACCCACAAGGTCACCACCAGCAAAATCACCTCAGCTGCATCACCACCAGCAAAAATAACTCAGAAAAGAATATATAAGGAGGCCTCTTGTCAGCCACAGAGCACATTTCACAGTACGTGAAATGTACCTAGTAACTGCAATAATAATAACTAATTGAATACTGGAAAATATCATACATTGTTGTTAAAATAATAAATAAATAAATATGTATTTACATTTAATCTTAATTCATAATTTA